AATTAATTATAATATTCGTTTTTAGTTAACCCGTTTCGTTTTTCCATTTTCTTATACTCTGAGTTATTTTTATATAAAATAGCTATACAACATTATTAATGCAACAAAAATAATCGCTCAAAAAGCGATACTAATAAGTTATAATGTTCGATCCATGTGATTTCACAGTCAAACCATCCATACAAAACCCACATGTATGATTAGATAAGAGATAAGATACCGGATTGTGAGGTCACTTAGCCAGACTTGCAGGTCCAGCTAGACTTCCCAATCCAACCATCAGCAACATCATGACCTTGACCCAATACTCGAGTATTATGATTGATCATTCAAGCCTGTTCCAACAAATAAATTTATTTAAATACAATATTTTCTTTTATATATATATTAAAACGTTTATATTTATTTCCGCTTTATTTTTATAAATATTGTGATGGTCTGACCTCCCATCAGGTCTGACACCCCATCTGCAGTGGTCAGTGCGCTGCATCAGGTGACCTGGCGGCGCACAGGGCGTGTTGCCTTAACTGCTACTAGATTAGCTGGTGGGCCAGATCCTTCTTTCCCTCTTCACCAAGAGATTCTTACACGTATGTAGTGAAAGCAGGACTGTTACGTCCACTCCATATTTACGCTTCGTGACAATCTCTCGGTCTCTTCACACACGTCTAGGAAGACTGTAAACTCCCTGAAGAACGATACTGAACGATACGCGTTTGACGCACCGAAAGAGAACCGATACCGAACAAGACACCCCCAACCCGATACCACGATCAAGATGCCGCGCAGCGAAGCGGATCGACAGCGCGTCGCGCAGGCCGTTGAGCTGGCCAAGAGAGAAGTCCATTTCACTGATGATGAGTATCTCCGTCACAATATCAAGCGTACTGATGGGCCAGGGTTCGAATCCTGGCCGTAGCAAAAGTCGACCGAGTCTTTTCACATGTCGCATGTGTACGCCTAATTGACAGAGGGCCGCTCCTGGCTGTGGCACACAAGCTCCATGGACACAATTCGCTGGCGCGACTACGGTCGTTTGTCCAGGTTCGTGGGCGAACCTTGTGTGACCCGGGGGGTTGTCATGGTCTGGTATAGGTAGCCCATGTGGTGAGTCCTGGAGCCCGGACATGAGTACATGTACCACCATTGAATGTCAAGCTGCCACGCTTGATATTCGACATCCTTTTGAGATGAACAGCCGTGGCATGGTGGTTATGGTGAGCGTTCCGTCACACATGCAGTTAGCTGTCCAAGCTAAAAAACGAGACCCTCATATTTCTGTTCAAAAGCTTGCTAAAACTTTCCATCTACCAATTTCTACACTGGCTCAAAAAATCGCCGGCCGACCATCACGACACGATAGCATGCCCAATTCTTTGAAACTTATGATTTCCGAAGAGAATGTCATTTGCTCCTTCATACTCGACCTGGATACGCGAGCATTTCTGCCCCGGTACACTTATGTTGAAAATATGGCGAATCAATTGTTGGCGGCACGTGGGACTGGACGCGTCGGGAAGAACTGGACGGCGAACTTCATCAAACGCACACGAGACCTCCGGACGCATTTTCATCGGAGGATGGACTACCAGAGGGTCTTGAACGAAGATCCAGACGCGTATCGCGCATGGTTCTGCCAAATTGAGGCGGCAGTCGCGAAACATAGTATCTAAGTGTTACGGTATTACGTAATACCTCCACATATCTTTGTACATATATACCCTATCTTTCCCTTTCTTTTTCTTACCTTGTCTCTTCTTCCTTAGATATCGTTGAATCTAGATATTTCATCCTATCAGCCCTGACCAGCGCAGCTGCAGGCCTGATTGTCACACCAAGATACAAACACCGTTGCCAGACCGCAATCTGCCACCCACTACTTGGACTTCAAAGACGCCTATCACTATTAATGAAGCAATAAACTAATTATTTTATATCCGAAATCCAGTCAAAAACCACCAGGGAAGCTCACCTACATCAATAATTGATGCGTTGAGCTTGTTTTCAAAGGCTATATATGGTCTTATATATAAGGTCACTTTGGTTGATTCCTGGGTTCGCGAGCTAGAGGAGGTCAATCACTTATTAAGTAAACGCCAAAAAACTAAAACCAAAAATTTAATAAAAAAAGGAGTACTTTCTATAAAGATGCAATAGGTCTTTAGACTATAAAGGATAGTGGTGAGCTGGCAAGACATGAAATGGATAAAGGTAGTCGTCATCCAAAGAGGACAGCAGCGCGTGAGCAACAGTGTAGTGTTTGCGGCAACACTGGCCATAATGCGTGAACTTGTACAATAGAGACAGAAACCTCTGAGGAAGGGGAATCCGATTGATTGAATCGAATTGAATGCATTGTGATTAAGTTATTTGACATGGCAGTTGGGAGGTTAGTAAAAGTGTCCCGCACGCTTGTGACCTACGTTAAAACTTATTATATTTATGTATAGGTTTATTTTTCTCAATCGAAGTTTAGATAATTTTTTTTAAAAGCGACTATTTTTAAAAGCCACTCTTTTTTCTCTCCTTTCAATCTAGCGTTTTTTCGATGTTTTTAAACTTTTACCTTTTTTAAATCTTTTTGTCAGATGTTGGATCCCAGATATAGTGCCCTTGGGTGCAGTACCCACTAGGGGGCTATCAAGGGAACAGTGGATCCATCCTGGCATAGTGCAGTATGGTATTGAGCTGTAGATTAGCCCTGCCAAGCATACTTGAGAATGACAACAACATTTGCAGCGACCGTTCACACCCCAAAGGCTTGTGACCCTTTTATAATCTCACCCTTTTAAAAATATAGTGGATTTTTTCGTTATAATAGTTATAAAGGCCTTTTCGACAGTGGTAAGCCTTCTTATTAACGGTAATAAAACCGTAAGAAATGTCAATTTTATTAAGATTCATAGGTTCGCTTTATAACGCTTTTAAAATGGAATTGTTTTAATTATAATAAAAAGTAAAAATAATCTTAGTTCTATTTTTTAAATGTTATAATTAAAACTTTATAGTGTTACTAGTACAATTACGAGATACTTAAACTCATTTAGTGAAATTTACGCGATTGAGTCGATTAAAGATTAAAATAAAACCGTTTTATAAATTATAAATAAATTTCATCTTCCAATATTTCGACTTGTCATTTATTAATAGCGTCAAAAGCGTTAATATATTGTTAGACGTAAGAAATAAAGTCGATCAACGGCTAAATTTTTTATCTAAAATGTTTAATATTTTAAATAGTTTAAACCGTTTTATTCATTATAATACAAGTTAAATTTAAATATTAAATTAAGTTATCAAAGTTAGGTTATTTTAAAGGCTATATGATATTTATTTTATTTATTTAAAAAAAAAGGTTGTTTTGAAAGTTTAATACGATTAATTTCATTTTATTTTAAATATAAATGAGGACTGTTTTTAACTGGTGTTATAAATGTAAAAAATGCTTAGGGTTAGGGTTCCGTCCCGATCTAGCCCCTCTGGCACAAAACTGCCACGGTCGCACAAGGACACTTTAGACAGACGGAATACACACACACACACACACTTCACTCTGACGATTGGCTCAAATCTGACAACTATAGGCTCCGGACCGATTAAGTTACACTTCTAGTAATTTACACAAAGCCTTACCAATCCACCCCTATGGTCAAACTCGGCTCTTAAATGAGGACATAGAAGCATTCGCTAGATATTCTTCACGCCATCGAGAAGAGATCGATCTTTCCAAGAGCCTCGATACGTGCTTTTCAAGGCCCTCGGTAGTAGGTCCAAATAGGTACTTGCCATGCCCGGCTAAGCCAACCGGTCGTGGCTTCAAGGATGGTGGATTACTATGAGTACGGCGTGCTCGAGCGCATATTCACCCTTCCTGCTCGAAGCCTTGCCGGGCTGATCAGTGGCAACACAGGCCATACTCACCGACGATAACTGTAAGCTCCTTTGGGTTCGCCTCATCAACGCGTCAAACATAGCCATGCGGCCTTCCCGTGACCCAGTCTAAGTGTCGTGCGAGGAAGTGTAGTTTTACAAGATAGGAAATTTCTTCATCTTCGCAGCAGATTTTCGCGCTTGGACCATATACTCCATTATATGTTTTGTGTGAGGAGTCACACAGGGGTCAGGACAGGGGATGGATCAGGATCGGGTTGGTTCCCTTGTTCGTGTCGGGTCGGTGGTCCAGAAGGGACGAATCGCTATCTAAATAGGTGGCCTGGAGCCCTGACCAACCGTCTGTCAGACAGGTGGCTGTTTGGTTGCCACACAACACCCGATTGCTGTCACACACCCCATGGTGACGCACGGACCACGTCAAACCACACACCAGAGCCACCATCACATCTGACATTTTGTATATAATTATAACTACTGCAATCATGATTCGTCCAGCGTGATCCTTCTCCCTCAACCGGGTTTGGGATCGGCGTGTCAGCCAGGAGTCACCCGGTAGCTAGGCATCCTCTGAACTTAACTAGACTTTATATGCTGTGAAGCTTGGAATAGCATAGTATGACGAGTGCCTTGAGGCTCTACCCCATTTGTAGCAGGCATAGCATGGGATTTTCCTCCAAGACTCGCGATCGCCGCAATTGCCACCTCTAATGAAGTTCCAGTTTGTGAAGCATACTCCACCTGAGCTTATTAGTTGGCTTACGAAGGATGATGCGTTAGCTGTTCTACCGCATAGGAAAAAGTTCCTTTTTCGTTGCTGACTGGCGCCACTCGGCTGCGCCGGTGACCGAGACTCTGAGCCCCACTCATGAGAACACTTCGATATCATGGGATGCGTGGCAGGCAATCCCTTGGACGGGACTAAGACAAAGTCATGGTGTACTAGACTGGGTACCTAGGTATATATAAGAAGTAGCCGCGTTATGTTCCGTATCCGAATTGGCAAGCCATACCATCCGAAGCCTCACTTAAAGACCCATAAACCTGACACCGACTAGGGACAGGCATTTGTGCTTTATAATCAGACTCTGACCGTACTACTTGTCAACATGGCAATCAGCTTCGGGTACGGGGTGCTGGCTGCGTTCTTCGCCATAACAGCCGTCTTCGCAAGCCCTGTCGCCCTCCCGGACGTCAATACCTCCTCCACACAAGCTCACACGCAAAGAGACTTCATGATCAACAAGAACACCCAATACAGTAGCCTGGGCTACACCTGGCCCAATAACAAAGTCACATGGTGCCTCAACGCCGACAAAGAGGCCGACTACAAAACCGTCCGCGATATCGCGGACAAGAGCTGGAAGAAGTGGAAGGACGTAATTGGCGAAAAGTCCAGCCTCAAGTTCGCGCCCGTCGACGACAAGGAGCTTGAGTGTAAGAAGTACCGCGGCAAGGTGGACATGTGGGAGATCACGCTCAACTACAAGATGCACGCCGGGTCTGCCCACTCGGGCTACATGTACCAGGACAACCGGCTGAATTTCGACCCGCGCCCTATCTACAGCGCCATGGACGCCGTGGTCAACTTCGCGCACGAGATGGGCCACGCCTTCGGGCTGCTGCACACGCACCAGCGGCCCGACGCCTGGCCGTCGCTACTGAAGCTCAACTGCCGGAACCTCCGGGACTACGACAGCCTGGCGAAGAAGATCGGCAAGGGCAAGGTGGACGATATATGCAAGACACTGAACCGGCGGTCGGCGGCCGCGGAGGGCTTCTCGGCCGCGGAATTGCTGCCTTACAGCAACTACATGAAGGACACGTCGAAGGAGATCGTCCAGAACGGCGACTTCGACTGGGACTCCATCATGCTCTACAATTCGGAGGCCGGCGCCAAGGACGGCACGTTGGCGCTGGTCAAGGAGAACGGCTCGAAGATTGGGATCAACACGGAGGTGTCTAAAGGAGACGGCAAACAGATCGAAAACCTGTATCCCAAAGGGAAGTGATAGCAACAGCGACAGCGACAGTGATTGATTGCTAACGCAACGAGTTTTGTGGTTTTACTGTACGATATTACGCTATGTTAGAGTAGACAGCAATAAGTAGATGTATTGTAAGGCATGCGGGTTACCTCTGCCCTTCCAGTTAAAGAGCTTAAAAATGAGATAAATAGATGCACGATACTTGCAAGAAGGCCATTACCTAGTTCATCACTCTCCTCACCGCAATCAACTTCATTAAGTCACTGTAGGCGTCGAGATGACGACCTCTCCATGTTTTACTGCCTGCCTACCCGTTGCTCCTCAAATTGTGAGCCACGGCGGCAGTAACTTGTGTAAAAACATTAAAAGACACTTAACTATATCTAAGATACAACGATGATTCAAAACTATCAGCTTCGATGTTAATTGTCGGCTAACATAAGGTAGCAATGGGAAACATTAAATGAATAGGCAGCCATTGGTTGTACAGTCATTCGACGACCACTAATAAAGCCGTGGTCCGAATGCACGTGTCCGATTTGATTTAGGGGCTGGACAACTCCGACTCACCCCGCCTTTTCCGCCCTCGCCTCATCTCGGAAATTTGGGACACTCTCCTTTCATGTTTCCACAACATACACACCTCTGGCCACATCACATCATCGCCCCTACAAACCGCGAACGCACAGTCAGTCACCGTATCACAGGAACTTAAATTACCGGTAACACACCCACACGAAACATGGAAGAGATGGACCAAGCAGCCATAGACATGCAGTACCAGCTCCTCGCCGGCTACCGCACCCGCACAGCGCAACCGCGGTCCTCGGAGAGCGAGCGCATCCGGTACCGCGCCTACACGGACGACGACATGGCGGCCGCGGCGCGCGCCATCGTCGAGGACGGCATGTCGCTGCGGCGCGCCGCGGTCACGTTCAACGTGCCGCGGACGACGCTGGGCGAGCGCGTGGGCGACGCCCGACCGCGCGTTATGCCCGCGCGCAACAAGCAGACCGCCGACGGCCAACGCAAGAACGCCACGCGCTACACGTGGAGCGAGGCCGACATGGCCAAGGCGGTCGCCGCCGTGCAGGAGAGCGGGACTGATGGCGGCCCGGCCCCGGCCCCGGCCCCGGCCAAAACCGCCGTCAACGCCGCCGCGAAGCGCTTCGGCGTCCCGGCCAGCGCCCTCAACGCGCGCATGCGCGGCCGCGCGCCCCGTGAGCTCAGGGGCGAGACGAGCCGCCTCACGCTCGAGCAGGAGCGCCTGCTGGCGGACTGGGCGGCCGCGCAGGGCGCGCTCGGCTTCCCGCCGGCCAAGGACGACGTCTTCGACCTGGCGGACCGCGTCCTGAGGAAGCAGCAGCTGGGCCAGGGCAATGCGGATGATAAGAAGAGGCTGGGCAAGCAGTGGATCAACCACTGGATGCGGCGCCATCCAGACGTCGAGGTCTTGGAGTGGAAGGACCACTCGGCTCCAGCTCGGCCCCCGCGGCCGGCGGTGCTGACGGCGGGGGCGAATCAGGAGGCGAACCCGGAGGCGAACCCGGAGGCGAACCCGGAGGCGAATACTGAGGCTACTCCTGAGGCGTTCTCGGCGAGTACGTTTGAGGTTGTGGATGGGTAGTTTATCTGGTGCATCTGCTGCTGTATTTCGAGCGACTGCCATGGTGGACCAGACTTGTGTGGTGTAGATTGGCAACTGCACATTCCTGGAGATGTGTTACATCGTGAGCGTCCATTTGGCTTCATCTTTGCTATCGTGGGTGTCGCATTCGACAGAGAAGCATCAACGCGGCGGTTTCATCCTCAAAACTCTGCTATGACGCAGCAGTGCAGCTCATTCGAGTTCAGATGAGGGGATCATTGCACTTTCAATGGCGAATGCCCCGGCGGCTACCTTAAGAGACCGCCATCTCATGTCTCATTGCGGCAGACAATGAAGCAAACGACGAGCCCGCTTGCCGGCACCTACCAACCGGAGCCGGACGTCAGCCGGCAATCCGTGGTGGAGTTGGGAAATGTGGTCGGGAAATATCAGGCGGCTCTGAAAGCGCCTGCAGCCATGCCATAATGCGCAACTCATATGGGTCTCGACTCAGCGAGGCTCAATGTTGGTGGGAGCATGGCAATGCATGATATCTTCGTCAACTACCTGCTGTGGCACAGTACCTGAGGTACGCACTGCTACGTTATGTATGTGTTGCCATGAACCAACACACGACCCCGACCTTGGATTGCGGTCTTCGAAGGATTGGGTAGGGATGGGATGTAGGGTCTAATCACCTCCCAATGTAACCCCTTCAGGTCGAGATATTCTAGAGAAACCAGACTTTAATAAGAAGGAGAGAAGGACCAAGCACGAAGACGGCATAGAGAACGGTGCGCACTAGATCGCTTTCTCTGCTAGGCTAGGCAAGACTCTAACTCCATACAGGAATAGTAGTAGTGGGTAAACCAACATAAGCCGGCTTGGGCATGGGAATGTCCAACACCGAATCCATCGTGTCTATCACAGCCCTCTTTTCCTTTCGCTTCTCCTTGAAAGAAACCTACAAGCTAGATGCAGCTTGTGTGTCCGCTGTCATGACACCTTGTGTATCCTGGACCCGTCTGGCTCTGGAATGTCAGAGTCTCATGGGTGAGTCGGACCTTTCTTATCATGGTTCCGCGGTCAAGGCTCCTCAATGACGGGCACTATATAGCCCTTGGTTCTCTTTAGGGTATGCTCCTCCGTCGCCTCCGCCTCATACTTCTTGCGATTATTCTCTCGTTGTTTTCTCGCCTCCTCTCTCTGCTTCTTGCGAAGATCTGCTCCGCGTTTCTCGCCTCCCTCCTCTCAGCCATTCGAGCTACCCTGCGTTGGCAGTTTCCGACAGAGTGCCACCCGCTGGGTATATTGCCTAGGATAGCGTATAGACGGGATTTCGTCGATGATTGAGTAGAATCGGACTCTGAAGCGGAAGTCTAAAGCTCCTCATCGTCCTTCTCGTCCTTAACCATAGGCTGCTGAGCTTGCTTCTGCTGTTGGTCTGCGCTGGCGCTAGCTAGCACATCGCCCAGAGCAGACGGGAAGTTGGCTGATCGATCTTGTGAGTCGTCGCCTGCCCGCTGTTTCTTCAATGGACTTCCAACTGTCGATTCTTCATTGAAGGCTTTCGATAGGAGATTCGAGACCGAATCAGGCACAGGTCGATCGTTCTGCGTTGTCTCGGTGGGTGTTGCCTCTCCAGCATTGGTAGGGTCAGTGCTGGGAGATTTCTGATAACTCGAGCCAGCCGCACTGTCTGGATCCGCAGAATGTTGTCGCTTGAGCTAAGAATTGAGTGTTAGTCAGTGAAGAACACAATGACATAGTTGGTCTTACCCGAATCCTGTCTATGCCAGCTTGCAGCTCCCCTGTGACCTTGGCATCCTCTGGTGCGAGATGAGTCTTGACGATCTTATCGTCAGTGTCCTCCATTTTGGCGAGAGGATCGTCAACGTCGTCATCATCTTCGCTGTCTTCATCCATTTCGGCGCCAGCGTGCCCATTGCTCTTCCGGCGAGCCTTGCGTCGTTTAGCTGCTTCGGCATCCTGGTCTCTGAACGCTGAGAATCCAACGGTACCAGTCGACTTGAGCGGACCGAGTCCCGAGAAGTCCAACTGAGTCGACCGTCGTTTGCCCGCTGGGGTCTTCTGGGTGTCTTTGGCACTCGGATCCAACCCCATCTTCGAGAGCTGCCCTATAGATGTGTTAGTACCACAATCCTAGTCGTAGAGAGAACTACCTACTCTGCCCGCGATAGAAAAAGGTAAATACAGCATACGGCTTTTCTGGACCGTCGATACCGGTCACAGTTTGCGTGCTGATCGTCTTGGGATCCAACGTCTTGGGCTTGGCAAAACTCGTGGTGTGCTCGACATCCGCGTCAATTGTGCCACTGTTTCCCCCCTTGTTACCGCCGTCACTCTCGTCGTCGTCATCATGTGCGTCGAACTGAGGTGAGTACTCTCCCTTCTTAATCTCACCAGAGGCTATTACTCTGAACATCGCAACCTTGATCTGGCCAGTGGCCTCCGGAGGCTCGTCATCGTCGGACATCGAGTCGTCATCTGAACCATCGGGACTACCGAGCGGTGACTGCTCGTCTGCACCATAGGCTAGTGCGTCACGGGCGCGATTGGGCTTCTCGAGGTCTGTACCACCGCTTTGAGACGTTGACTTCTGGCGACGATGACGTCGCTCGAACTTCTGTCTTCGCTTCTCTACCTTCTCTGCGGCGTCATGTCCTTTAAGGTCTAAACCATTGAGCCATCTCTCGAGGCCGACCTCGCGAAACAGGAACTCCCTCTCGGCAAGACCACCACCCTCGCTCTCAGGGACCTGAACCCAGCGGCTATTGACCCATGTCTCTTCGCCGGGACGGAGTAACGTAGCGACTTCTTCCTTTGCCCGGCCGTCGAAGTAGATGTAGGCAGCGATGGTCTCGTTTTCCGAGTTTGTCATGGGAATGTACGGTACGATTGCGTTGGCATGTTTAGAAGGATCGGAGCTTGTCGATGGCAAAGATCCGGCATATAGAGATTTGGGATAGGGGTTGGTAGCCGAAGGCTTCGGAGCCGAGTAGGGGATTGGATGGCCAGGCGTCAGCAGCGTAATGGATATGGCGAATTTGGCTGCCTCGTGTTTACCGGTGTCGGAGTTCAGCTGAGGCTGTGGAACGGGTATGTAGGTGCTGATGCGAGAGAGGCGGGACTGTTTCTGCAAGCCAAACTCGTTGAGAGGGGCAGAATTAGCATGTATGCTGACTGCGATGCCCTTGAAGCAGGGCATCGTGAACGGTGGTTCAGGGCGTTTTCAGTCAATCACGAGGACGGGCAATAGGGCGGTGAGCCGGCTTTGTCGCAACGGGGAACTCAAGGCAGGCCTCGTATATGGCCAGACCGTGTCGTCGCGAGGGCGACCGGTTTCAGATGGTATATTGGTCTGCTACTCGACGTGCCTGTATGGGTCGGTGAGGAGGTGAGAGCTCCACAGCGGTGCCAACTTGGAAACGAGAAGTGAACGATTCAGGGAGGAAACAGACTGCTCTTCTCAGTCTGCTGAGCGGCGCCAAATGCGGTGAGCTGAACCCGTATTACAATATGGATCAGGCGGCGTCTGGAGGTGCAACAGCGATGCCGTCGACTACGGATACTCGTTGGTAGCAGCTGGCGGTTTGCGTGTCCGGCGTGCAGAGTCGAGCTCGAATTCACGAGGGGTGATGGCGGCAGCCAGCGTGTGGTGCGGGTGTGGAGGGCTTCGGATGTAACGCGCTGTGCCAGGGCTCGATGGACTCGCCGGGACGAAGACCAGGTCGTGGTCGAGATCAACACGCAGAGCAAGGCAGAGCTGGTCGCGATACTGCTGCTATCTAAGATGTCGGCGTGGGACCAAAGATGTTGAAAAGGAGGTGTTCGAGTCCTCTTTGCTCGGATGTTGAATGAATGGCGGGGGAGATGCACAGAGAGAGGCGATTGGTCGAGCATGACATGGAACGGGGCGACTGTTCAATGTGCATTGTGCATTGTGCAGTATGCATTGTGCAGCAGTCCACCCGCCAGTAGTAATACAGTAGAAGAGTATACAGTGCGATTCTATACACACGGTGCTGCAACCCCTTGCTTGGACAGGTGCAGAACCAAGTCTCTCACCTGCAAAAGAGCAGGGATATACCCTCAAGATTGGCCTGAAGTCAGCAGGAATGGCAGGGCAATTAATTTGAACAATGTGATGTTTCTCTACTCGTCAAGAAAGGAGTACTGGAACACTCGTCACAGTCGCTCAGAGCCCGGGCGAGTAGAGTGAATGACTTGCTGTGAACCGACAAGATAAAGCCAGTCTGATGATCATCCCACGCTCTCAAGACGATCGTGAAACGTACAGTATCATTGGCCTCGTAGTAATTTAAGCCAAAAGAAGGGTGGATATCAGATACAGACATTCCAAGCTCAAGACAACAAGCACACCCAATACCAAGCCCTACACTTCCGCCTCAAGCCTTCCCACCCCGCGACGACCGTCTCCGGAGCGAGGTATCCCCCTTGCCATCACGATCACGATAGCCACTCCCCGCGCCCGACTCCCTCCACACATCCTCGCCATCCTCCTCATCGTCCGCGTCGCCAGCACCAGCATGATGACGAAGGGGCTGATCAACAAGCGTCTCCTGCTCCGTCATGCTCTCCTTGATCTTCATTTCCTCCTCCTCCTCATCATCGTCAAAATCCTCGCGCTTGATGTCACCAAAGCCCTTCCCTCCCTTCTCACCCACAGCAACAGACCCAACAAATCCCGTGCCCGAATCCAAGTCCCCGGCTCTACCAGCCGCCCGAAGCCGATCCTGCTGCTGCTGCTCGCGCTCAACCAAACCCTCAGCCCGATGATCCGAGAAAAACCACCCCAGCACCAGCCACGCGAGCCCCATGGAAGCCATCTCGCAGACCCAGAACACCGCCGTGCACACGACGAACGAGACGACGCGGTGGTTATACATAGCCCAGCGCACGCCCGACAGGCGCGCCACGAGCGTGACGGACGTCCCGTAGACCTGCAGGTCCTGGCCCGCCTGCACGTCCACCAGAAGGCTCAGCGGCAGCACGTCGACGAACTCGACCAGCTCGCCCATGGGCACGACGAGCGTCGCGGTACGCTCGGCGACGGGGAATAGCACGTGCCAGCCCAGGAACAGCAGGCGCGACGCTGTTGTTACTAGAGGGTCGATGTAGTGGAGCAGTACCGGCCGCCGCGCGCTGAAGACGACGTTGTCGCGCGTCACGTGCGCGTAGGGGTTCGTGGGTGGTTCCGTGTGGAAGGCGAGGGCCGGGTTTTCGGGCTGCGAGCGCATGGCGAAGAGCGCGATCATGAAGTTGCCGCGCTCGAGGTTGGGTGGCGAGCGCGGGAGCGTGAGCGTCACCGAGACGTCGTAGGCTTGCTCTAGCATCAGGTTGGAGGGGATCGAGGTCACGCCGTAGGGGTTGAGGCCATCCCTTTGGGGCCTGGTCAGCTAAATCGGGACAGCATTGCAGTACACATCAACTCATGTACATATCGCAAGTGACTCGAGAACCAAGACATAATGAGACATGAGATGAACCCCAAAAAAGCAACGCAACGCAACACCACTACTGACAAAAACACCAGGCAGACTCACCCATACTGCAAGTGCACCGGCAGCTCAATGACCTTCTGCGGCACATAGTTGTAGTAGAAGACCGGGTACGCCAGCGACGCAACGCCCAGCAGCACCAGCGACGTGACCAAGAACAGCGCGGTGCCGAGATACGTCCTCTTAGCCGTCGGCGACGTCGCGACGCGGTACGGCGCCTTTACGTATTCCTGCAGTGAAACTAAGCGGGTGGACAGCATGCAGTGAGTGAGCAGCAGCGAGCGAGCAGGATTGAGTGCACGGTATAAGGACAGCAACGGCAACACCACTCCATCTCAATCTGCCCTCGCAGAGTGTTATATACAATGCATAACGCAACCCACGAACGAACTCACCATGGTGCAAGATGCAGACGAAGCAGACACGCCATTCGGCGGCACCGCACTCCGAGTAGTTCCAGTTCCAGCTCCAGCTGCTGGTGGCGCCACCGAAGCCTTGGACCAGGACGGAAAGATGAGAAGAGGACCAGATCTGACCGTGTTCAGATGATTATGGTTGTGGTTGTAGTTGTGGTTATTATCATGGTTGGGGTGACGGTGGGTGTGGTGGTGGTTGACGGAGGTTGTGGTTGCATGTGCAGGTGGCATGTCCGCGGCGTTCTTGGCAGCCGCCGACGCGGCACTAGAGGCACCTGTAACGTCATGGTGCTGGCCCGGGCTGCTGCTGCTGCTGCCGCACTCGGGCTGGTACGACGACTCGGCCGACGCCCAACCATCGTCCACAGGGAAGTCGTCCATGACTGACTGCAACTTCATGGTTTCAATCGCAGACACCAGGTAATATTCAATTCTCAAGAGAGAGCAGCAGATAGTACACCTTATAAAGTCGTTGGTCAAATCAAGTTCATAAATACAATCTCTCCTATTGACTCCTATCCCTTTGACCCTACCGTCAATGAGATATGTGACCTACAAGTTTCATGAGGCGTGAACATTTCGTTCCCTTATACAACAGGCAAAGAATCCAACAAGCAGCTACCCGCTCGCCCATATGTGCGGCTCCTCCAAATGCCATATTCACATTACACAGACTGGCTGCCCTTTCACCAGAAGAAGGGTGTCATTGTCTCTTTTCTTTCAACCCGACAGACAACTCAGCAATCGCCCTCTGAGGCCAGGCTAACACGGCTGCAGATAGTTACTAGGGACCAGCCCGCTTCGCCCGACCCCGTTCCCGGCGTGGATCTCAGCCTCCCACCATCCGTCATCCTGGTGCCGAAGGACGGCCAGCGTATCACCTTTGGCAAATCCGAGTTCTTCGGGGATGGCTGCCTGGTACATGTACAGCGCCCGGGCTATGTGGATGTTAGTTGCTGAGGGTCTGTCAAATCCTGATGTTGGACACTTACCGTAGTGCAAGATGGCACGACCATCTGGAGTGTACTGCCGGCCTGGGTCGGCCACACTCTTACTTCGCTGCCTCGACCCGTCTACCGCTGGGTCCCGGCCATCATAGAAGCTCATAGCGCCGCGAGAGCTGGAAGATGTCCCAGGCCTGCCACTGCCCCCCCTTCCGCGCGCCGACCCATACGCTGAACCCTCCCCTCCAGCCGGTGCAAGCTGAACCGCCATGGGACCGCGACTAACAGGACGGTCATATTCTCCCCTGTACGGAGATGGCGAAGGTCCTCGTGCCATGTCGTTTGGCGAGTTGTGCCTCTGGTAGCTTGTGTCCGAGCCACGCGATGGTGGCATGCCACTTTGCGGCGACGCATGGTGTTGGCTGCCGCTGTATGGGTTCGGCGACGCAGAACGGTGTGCTTGGCGCGTGTCGGGATGCATCCCGGGCCTAGGGGAAGCACTTCGAGGCGCTGCCGGCGAAGTCGCACGAGGCATGTCGGTACCTCTAGCTGCTGGCCGGGACTGGCTACGGCCATACGTGCTCGCCCCTGACCGATTCTGGTTGAACATGTCCCTGGTCTGTCCCGTGTATTTCCGCGAAGACTCCTGCATAGCCTTCGATGTACAAGCCGGAGGTGGCACGCCCAGTCGCTGCACCGGCTGGTCGTACGACGGAGGAGGAGTGCCTCTCATGGCAGCAGCGACATCGCTACCTCCCCTGGGGACGGGCACCGAACGTGAGAAAGCCTGTGATCGCTCGTGCGGTCGGTCGGGAGCCGGCGTGGCAATGCCGTGATAGTGATCTGCTGAGATCCGTCCAGCCGACTGTTTGTTGCTACCGATACCCTTCATGCTACCGGCACCCTTCAACTCTGCCAATGCGAGGGCAATGGGATCCATATCCTCGGGTTGCGCAGCGCTATCATCCACGGTTTTGCTGCGTTTTTTGTCCGTGTTGGCAACAGGGAACACGTTCTGTCCCACGTTCAGCGCCAAGCTTGCATTTGCATCGATAGGGTCTGGGCTGGCCGTCCTTTCTCCGAGCGTGTTGCGTGGCTCCGGCTGATAGGCTTGAGGCGTGTTGTGTGGTTCCGGCTGGTAGGCTTGAGGACGTCGAGGACTTGCCGAACTCTGAGTCGTCGGACCCCAGGTGTTGCGGTTCGGTGGTTGGACATCTTTGGTACTCTTCCTGCGGAATGGGCTGTGGTTCTGGAAAAAGCCACTTTTCTTCTTCAGAGAAAGGGAGTGCTTGTCTACTTGGCCCATGGCCACGGGCTCTTGCTTCGTAGGGGACACTTGACCGCTCGGTGGTTCCTGACTAGAGAAGGACGTCGGGTTCGAGTATTCACTATTATCATCGCGACTCAACGGCCTTGCTGACACGTTCGAGCTTGTGGCCGAGTTCATGCCATCCGTACGGCAGAGCATGGTCATTCCATGCATGGGGTAGGGGTCGTGTGGTACTGATGCGAACTGAGCAGAATCATATTGCTGCTGCTGCACTCCATTCATCTGCCGCCGGTTTTGTGAGGGGAGCTGAGAAGCATCATGTTGCTGCTGCTGCGTTCCATTCATCTGACGCCGGTCTTGTGGGGGGATGGTAGAGCCCGAGACCTTGTGGGGGGTCAGAGTCGCCTCCCTGCTTAACGATTCCATAGGGTCTTGGTGTCTGCTTAACGATTCCATAGGGTCTTGATGTGCTAGATCCCGAGCCAACATAGAGTTGGGGTCATGGTGAGACTCGAATGTTGAAGGTTGAGGCGAGGAAGTGCGGAAAGCAGGATTGATGTTGCGAGGGAACTGTGCGACCGAATAATTGTCATCGTCAGAGACCTCCGACTGGTGGTCATCCACGTCCCCCCGACAGAAGTTGATGTACTTGGGCGCGTCCGGGATCTCTTGGCCGGTGCCTCGTTCATTGATGAAGTTCAGAATGTCCTTCTCCACATCCATCTTCTCGAGGGAGATTCGGATCTTCTCACACGATGCATCGTCGCTAACACAGACCGTAGAGGCGATGTTCGCAAAGGTCCACAAGCTGCTCTTGCTGAAGTCCAATCTCTCCTCTTCCAGATCCTGGAACTTGTCGGCGGCCGCCTTCCACTCACGGTTCCATCTACCAGTGGTGTCTTCGAGTGCCTTGACCGCACTCTCGTATTCGCTGTTCGATGTCGCAAGACTGATCTGTGTCTTCTCCAGCTTGGCCTTGTTCTTCCGTTCCTCCTGACCCATGACCATGTGGCCCTGCGCCAAGTAGCCTTTGATCTTGAGACATTCCTGTTCATAACGATCGCGAGTCTGCAGCAACCACCTGTTAGCATCTTTGGGGGCCTAGTAGTATCGGCGCAGCTCACCTTGTTGACCATCTGAGTTTGTTGAATCTTGACCTTCAGTAGTTTCTCGACTGTGTTCTGTACGATCTTGCGGCGCTCCTTCATCCCTCCGGCAAAGGCGGCGAGAGGCTCCTCCAACTCAGTCTTCATCTGGGCTGCAATGCTGCCGTGTTGCTTCGCCATCTGTTCAACCTCGCCACGAACTGTGTCCAACGACGACTTGAGTGTCCCCATCTCATGTGATCCCAGCGACTTGCGGCTTAACGACATCAATTTGTGGGCGTAATCGTTCTCGATGGAGGCTCGGGCTGGTGAACGGACATAATTAGCAGGAAGATCATAATACAGAGCAGGCAGCTGCGGACTTACCACTATAGAAGGATCGAAGCTCGTCGCTGGTCTGCTTAGCAGAAGCCATGCGATCGAGCAATGGCCCGACGCCCGCATCTTCTCGACCCCAGAAGTTGTTCGCAACTAACAATAGTATCAGCAATCCGCGGTACAGCTAGATTCAACTCGTAGAAGACGTACAGGACAGCGACACTGTTGGTCCTTCCGTGGCAGCTGGCATTCTGCCGGTTTGTCACAGGAAGCGACAGCAATGATTCGTAGGGTTGTCGGAGTCGAGCAGTGGGATGGGCACTTTCAGGTGCTTTCGCAGAGCTGGCGCCTGCTCTCCAACTCGGCGAGGAAGGGTCGATCTGGAATGTCTTGGGTGTGTCGATACGCAGAAGTCGCTACAAGCAAGCAAGGAAGATTAGACTTCCAACGGCTTTCGACAACTGAATGCGACCGCTCTCTGCCTCTCGTTGGGAATGTGAATGGCGTCAGACGAAGAAGATACAGTTGATTGAGAGAGCAGCTGGAGCACATGGGCAGGGGTCCGGCGAACAGAGACGGGATATGTTTATCGAGAGTGCACACCGCTGGTTGCCCCAGTGACGCCGCGCCCGGACCACGTGCCCCTTATCAACCCCACACCATCGCTATCGAGCACGCGAAATCACACATCGCAGTCTGGGAGTTGTGGACTCCCCAATCCGGGGTTTTCTACCCCAACAATTGCTCCTGTTTCTGATCAATAAATTGCTCTTGTAGGCCTGTTCTCAAAGCATTCAAACCTTTGAACATTTGAACTGGGGGACAGGTCTCGTTGCGCAATTGCTTCCAAGACATGGTTTCAGTGGACCTCCTTTCACAAAGCAACAACAGCTTTGCATTCAGCAAGTGTTGCTTGAAGATTTGTCCCCGGATCGCATCTTGGTTGAACATACAATTGCTGATACTTGATGGCACCCGGGGAATGGGTCTTTAACAAATTCATCGATACCAATCAGTTGTGTCGTCGTCGACAGCTGTATTGACAAGTCGAGCCCAGACGGTCTATCTCTTCCAAACGTGCCGAAGCCAGCGCCCCTGAATATGCCTCAGCAAGCAGGTCACGTTAGCCTTCTCAAGGGCGTTCATGGAGATATTGTTACAATGATCTCCACTGGACCAACAGTCCTCACCCCAGGTGATCATATTATGCTGTTGGGCACGCGAAAACGGTAGCCGCAGGCGTGAGATCACCTTCACAATGCCACACAATCAACGCATGAGCATGGGCGTATATGATCTCATGGCAATTACCTGCTATGGGGGCGCTCTTGGTTGGAACAGGCGTTGAAGAGGTCAGTCACAGAGGGTTGACTGTGAAAAGGGTGTCGAGTGACCCTGAAGATATCACATTCTCTGGTGCCGACTTCGCAAGGAAGAAAACAAAATCGCTGGCAGATACATGGCAGCAGGCATCGCGAAAACAGCACGAGCAACCGTTGTGTGCTACGGAAGGGCGTTCCAAATATAGTCATCGACATTGTCGTACGAGTCGATTTCTTCCCCACCGTCACCGAGTGTATTTTCATCCCCGTCGTCACTTGGCGGGTCGGGGCGACTCTCCTTCCAACTCTTGTCCGGCTTTTTCACTTGGTAATCCACCCCTCGCCCTCTCCTCACAATAACTAGAAGCTCCTTTTCTCGCTCGCCGGCCACCGACAGCAGCTTGTCTTCTTTCGTGCCATACGGAGCCTCTTCGGCTTGGCTTCCATGGCTGATGAGTTTTTGCTCGTAGGCCACTCGGGTCTTCTCCTTCATCCCCAAGCCGTGACCGGCTCGTTCTGCGCGGTATACGATGATTGATGGGTTGCTGGCAGACCCGTCGCGATCTATGAGGAGTTTCGCCAACCGTTCGGCTGCGGTTCACGCGAGTGCGAAGTCTCCAAATGCGTTCCAATGTACCTAGAGGGGATTGCAAACCCGAGCATCGTCGAGTCGTGGCACAGGTAGCGCAGCTCTTTCCATCCATCGCCCTCCGCAATCAGGCCGCTCAAAGTACCATAACCGACAGCGCCGCCTCGGCCCTCCAGCACTGTAAGTGTGTCCAGCTGTAGCCCGGGCAGAAGCGTAAAAACCGAGATCATATGGTGACTGAACGTACCGCCATCGGGCGACCTGAGCATCCATCTTATATCTCCATTAGTCCGAAGGTGTCTTATTTTGGCCAGGCTATCAATTGGAAGCGCGGTCAATTTGTTGAGCATGGTTTGGTAGTCCTCGAAACTGAACAGGACTTGGCCAAGCCATGTGTCCCCAATCTCGGCCCTGATTCGACGACATGTGCGCAGCAGTGAGCGCGCGTTCGGTGCAGGTTGATGCGTGAATCCCGTATTCGATGCGTGTACGTAAGTAGCCTCAGCCCGTACGACAGCCTGGTTCCACGGAAGACCTGAGAATAAACGAGGTCCCGAAGCTCTTGTGGAAGCTTCTGAAACAGCGGGCTGCCTTCCTGTTCGTGGGTCGCCCTGCTGGTATCCGTCTTCTGCTTCTTCTTGTTCGCCATGGGGAGGTCCAATTGATCGCAGGCGCGGTGTGTGCTCTTGGGTGGAAGGCGAAGTAAGAAAGGTGAGTGAAGTGGGGCGGAGAGGGCAAACTGACAAGCGCTATGCGTGTGTGGCGGTGAGGGGGAAAAGCGGTGACCAAACCCACCTCCTGATAGAGCACCTGTTCCCAGCTGCGACACCCAGGTTGCGAATAGGGGATAGGAGACAGGGGCTACATACCTCTACATAGGTACCGTACGGTAGCTCCCATTGACCCATTTATATCCTGGTGTGCCGCTACGCTGGCGGTTCTCAGTGAACCTCATCTATCCATTTCACGAATCACGATAGACCCAACCCGAAGCACCAGACTGCTCTACATCCAAGCCAACCAATTCACGAAGAACAAAGATTGCACCGATAAAGTTCATCAACAAGCACGAACTCCCGGCGAACAAACCTCTGGGCCATCCCCACGTCAACCACGGCGTATTCACCGCGTCGGGGAGCCGAGATGAGTTCCGCCCCGCGGACAGCATTGCGACCTTCCTGTACAACTACAACCCAAAACTACTCGAGAAGTTCCTCGATATCGACGGGCCAGAGGTAGAGATAGCATGCAAGGCTCCCAAGCCATTCCAGACACTGCACATTGCACGGATCGGAGACACGGTCACGGCGAGTCGCCACGTTTTTCATCCCACGGAAACGCAAGTATACCTAAAGTATGAATGGGCTAATAACATCGGGTCTCCAGTGCAGATACCCCTCGGAAGGAGAGATGGTCACGGTAGTCGACTGTCTCATCGAGCACAATGGGGAGCGGACGGCGGTGTCTGCCTCGAACGACGGATTTGAACCCGCGAGGCAGGAGGCCAAGGAGAGAATGGGCGCGGACTTGGCCCAGTCGATTCTGCTTCGCAGGCAGTGGGAGAGGGATTCTCCAGGATTTGAAATCAGTATCTTGATCAACGAGGTGACATGTCATGACTTCTGAAAGAGATAAGACACGACTTATATCGTAGGGGACTGCTCAGTGGTGCCAATGAAGTATATTTGTTGCTGTATAAAGGGCCACCCTTTGTCAACTATTGCATGCCAGGACCACGTGCTTTATGGCTCCCACCGGAAGATCCCCGACGCCAGCTGCCAGCCGTGCCATTCGCTATCCATCATGTCAGACCCAGCCGTGTCTGGCATTTCTTCCAAGACTCGATGCCGCGTCTAGCATGCTCCCCCGGCACCCGCTCCCCCTCCTCCACCAGCGTCCGCGAGAACAACTCCTGAGAAACAAACCCCTTATACCCCAACCCCCCAAATATCGCCTTGGCCACCTTCTCAACGGGCAGATAAGCGCCCCGTTCCTCCTCATACATGAACGTCCGCGCGTTCCGCGACCAGCTCATGCGCGCCGGCTGGCTCGCATCGTAGAAGGCGTGGCCCTCGACCAGCGGCGTCTCCATGCGCTCCGCGTCCACGATCTGCACGTAGAATACCTTGGCGACGTCGACCTCGCGCACCAGGCGCTCGAGCGAGGCCGCGAGGTCCGCGTCCGCGTTCGCCGTCTTGCCGTCCGCGTTCGCCGTCTTGCCGTCCGCGGCCGTGGGGTCGCCCCACACGCGGCCGGCGATGTTGAAGGTGTCGAGGCAGAGGCCGAAGTTCGGCCGGTCGACACGCCGCACCATGTCCCACGCCTGCTCCCACGTGTCGATGCGCGTCGACCAGCACAGGTTCTCGTACGCGAAACGTATGGGCGGGTCCTGCCGCGCGCCGAGGTCGGCTATCTCGCGCAGGTCCGACGCGATGAGCGACTTGTCTTCCGTGACTTGGTCCGCGGGCAGCATGTTGGCCGGGATCCCGATGGCGTCTGTGCGCAGCACCTTGGCGAGCTCGAACCAGAATTTGAGCTTTTCGATCATGCGGTCGTGCTGCGCCCGGTCGAGCAGCCCGTCGTAGTTACCGAAGGGTTGGAGGCTGAGGATGGTGAGGCCGAGGTCTTGGCATAGTTGGTGAATATGTGCAGCGCCGGCCTTCAGGTCCTCTGACGAGGGTGAGTTATTCTTGGATATTCCCTTGGCGGCGTACTCGAGGTCCTCGTAGAATAGCTCGATGCCTTTGAACCCCTTGTCGGCGGCTTGCTTGAGCTTGTCGTCGAGGTTGTGGAGCCAGGCTCGGCCGAGGGAAGCGGAGAAGATTGCGGGCTGGTAGTTCGCCATGCTGTGGTTCTTGTTCTGCAAATTGATGTGCATATTGAGAGGGGAGTACCTGGTCGAACTTTATGCTTTTGAAAGTTGCCAGCCTCTCACTGATCAGATTGTGTTCAATGTGCTGCAACTTCAATGACTCGATGTCCGTGACAAGAGCATGGACGTCATGGCGGCTCCGGATGAAGGAATACCCACCGCAATGCCCCGCTGCCCCGTCTCTACAGACCGGTGTCACAAGAACGGTCAACTCAGCAAGGCAACTCAACAAGGTACCTAAAACTGCAGGTGGTCTTTCATGTTTGAGCGGTGATGCGAATTTCATATCGACTTTCACCAATCAAGCGTATGTTTGTTTGTTTGTTTGTTTGTTTTGTATTCAACGTGGGGGGTAGCTCCTCAGTAGTGCAAACCACGCCTCCCAGAGCCTCTGTATCGCAGGGTTGTGGAGGTATCAAGATAATAAGTACAGTCAGTCCCGCTCACGGGCCCATCCCTGTTATTGCGGCGGTATGACCTTGGGGTCATCCATCTGGTTCTTCAAAAAAAGCTATCTATTGGGGGCAGATTGTTGAAAAGAACTTGCTCTTCTCCACGAATTTTGCCCATTCTGTGCTCCTCTCCCCTAAGTATTGTAAACAAGCTGCCCTAGGCGAGTACCTAGGCAGCAGCCGGTTTTTCCCCAGCCTCTTACAAAAGAAAATGTGTTGTGGTGTTTTCTTCTCACCACAGCTGCAGTGATCATTTGAGTCTGTATGCCCAAAGCGTTCATGGTATCTGGCAAAGTCGCCATGTCCAGATCTGGCCGCTAGAAGTCTGTGTAAAGTACTCCTCTTAAAAGATATAAGGTCAACACCAATCAAGCGTAATGACGCAAGTCTCTAAGACGGGCGGTGGAGACACATCTCGCTATAGGTACCGCCACAAGAGCTCGCACAGCTTAACAACAACGATCACGCTGTACGGGCGAGGGTCCTCAATGAACATAATTCAAATCTCTTGGCATACATGTAGTCATTTGCTGATAATAATATCGAGTTTCATACGCGGGCTGCCAATGCTACGCAAGTACTTGGATGACAAAGGAATGTGTAAGTTATGCATTTAGCCCCATCACTTGCGCTAAGAATATGAAAGCTAATGTCAGTCCATTACGGTACTCGTGTGCATCTCTCCCCTTTGGTTTGGTTCCAATAACGAGTGTCTGTAATGGAGCTGAACCTAAGCTGCCGTCCCCTCCGCGCGGAGCCCTCGCACCGTTTTTGATACTCTTAGATCCCATTGACACTCTCATCGTGTCCCCAGGCGCCGCAACGCTCCGAACACTGTGAGCTGTCTCCGTCGGAATGCACTGGAAGCCTTGTAGTCAGTACTCGCTCTTTTGTCATGACTAGCTTTGAGGAGTCTCTGGGGCATGTCTGATGAGCTCTAGCGGCAGCCATTAAGGGATGTCACGTACACAGCCTCATGACCGACTCATTACGGTTAATATGACACGGCCGAAGAAGGATTGAGCCCCATGGTGAGCTTCAAGCCAGTGGCGCCAAATGGACTCGCCGCTGAAGAAGGATCACGCTGTTGCACTCGGGCGTGGCGCCGGTGTACTCGTTGCCGCCATGCCCCTTTCGCGACTTAGCAAACACTCCATTCCTGATATCATAACTTTCACTAGTCCCGCTCGTTGACATTCATGCCAAGTACCTAAGGCAGCTCCTCCCTTCCGGTCGAAGAGCTTGAAAAATAAAATAAATCGTAAATCGTCGAGGCAGGCAGGTGACAAGTCGAGGTTACGTAAGCTGCGACCGACTGCCTAAAGAGTAGGTTCGATGGACAGCCAGCCTCTTGGATCAGGTCGTGGTAAAGCTCCGTTATGCTAAGGACGCCTATCCAACCAAAATCGGACGAGTGAATCCTTGCGTGGGTAGTATCCGCTCATTGTCCGTACCACGCTTAGGCGATTCCAGTATCAACTGTTGCTCGAGGGCCCTTACCTTCCAACATTTACGAGTTTTGCAACCGAACGATCAACTACCAGTTAAGTCACTACAATGAAGGGTTTGATTACATTTGAACGTTGAGATGCCTAACCATCCTTAGCCCTTGATACACCGTCCATAAATGGTATGCGAATTCTGAAACCCTCGAGCATGCGTTGGCTGATAAACTGGGTGGACAAAAGTCTCCGCCCGACCCACCACAATCTCCTTCAGATCAAAACAACGCGTCAATCACCCTTCGACTTCACCACTCTCTCAACACCGCAATTGATAATGGATTTACGATCTTTTGGGGACGAATTAAGCGGTAACCGCGTCGCTAACGGCGAATTCACTTCAGAAGCTCGCTCGGCAATCGTGGCGGCGCGAATCGACGGCAGAACGCGTAGGGATGTTACAACCGCGTTTAAAACGAAGCACCTGAAAACCATCTCTGATATTATCACCAACTTTGAGGCCATTTCTATACCGAAATCTGCCCCAAGGAGCGGTCGCCCACCCGTTTTGAATACTTGCGAACGCGCTCATGTGATCAAAAAGGCGAGAGAGCTCCCCAGGGCAACGTGGCAGAAGATTCGAAACGAAGCCTGCGTTTCGTGCTCTCCCAAGACTATCAAGAGGATATGTCACGCACACGGCCTCCAGAAGTGGCGCGCAGCAAAGCGAATCAAGCTCACAGATAAGGACGCTCAGAAGAGGCTCGCTTTTGCCAATTATTATAGCACACCAGAGCGCCTGGAGGAGTTGTTGTGAGCTATGTTCTCAGACAAATATACGGTCCAAAACTCATCCGATAATCCAGGCGATTGGGCCATCCGATTCTCTTCAGAGCGGTACCGTTATGATCTCGTGAACAAGACGGATCACGGCAAATCTCGTATTTCGATAATGGTGTGGTCTATGATCTGACTACGTGGCGGAGAAGGAGGACTAGGCAAGTTGGTCTTCTGCCCACTCGATCCGGATGCTCCGCGCGGAGGAGTATCCGCAGAGTCATACAAATGGGTTCTTGAGGAAGGCCTGCTTCCGTTCTACGAGGCTAGAGATCCTTTTGTTCAAGATAACGCGAAAATTCACCTCACTGGCGGTGTTCCGGAGTGGATGGAGGAGCACGGCATTCACTGTATCGACTGGCCTCCTCACAGCCCCGATATGAACCCAATCGAGCACGTTTGGCGACTTCTGAAGAAGAACATACGTGAAATTGAGCCTGAATTTTCTGAATTGAAGGATAATATCCCCCATTATCACTACGCACACGAGTTAATTGAGCAGGCGTGGTCAGAGATCGATCCGGAGCAGGTTCGGGCCTTGATGGAGTCACTGGAGGACCGAATAGCTGCAGTGAGGCGCGCCGGTGGTTGGTATACACACTATTGACTTAGTTATTGAATATAATTTATTTGAGAATTCTATCACCAGAATTGGATGCGTTATGGTTCAATTGAGTTGGAGGGTATAGTAGATGGAAGGGCTAAAATTGGGGATCGGGCGGAGACTTTTGTCCACGCATTGTACCTGTAGATTCTACGCCGGGTTTGCAATCGCGTGCTCCAACTCCCGAGGATCCGCCCGCCAGAACTTTGGAGAGCCATCCCATACACCGCCCGCGAAACTCTGCAAAAGCGAGGTGCCTCGGAGAGAGCCCAGCACCGCCGAGGTTGGACTTTTGATACGGGTGTTATGTGCCACTCGCATACAATCAGATCTCGGGCGGTTTATCGGCATGTGCGGCTTCAGACGAATCGCCTAAAGAGCGTGGGATGCGTCGTCAACTCTCACGAACAGATGGAAGTAGGTTGAAGAGACTCTGGGTTGAAGGCACCCCTCCTTCTCGTAGACCTCGCCCAGCTCGACAAAGAAGCCCTCCTGGTCCTCGGCCACATAGGTCTGGTAGTTCAAGGTCCGGTAGTCCATTTTCATAATAGGATATGGCATATCGTCTGCCACAAAAGCCTGCAGACTTGCTTGATAAGTATTAGGATGGGCCGCGGCATATTCAATGTTTATACCATCGTCTGGCGCAGGCTCAATACGAGACGATGAAGCGCCACCACTCCGAACGTAATAGTCGGGACAGTTGTCGTTCCCTTCGAAAAGCCAAAAATCGCGAGTCTGTTCCAGTTTCTGGAAAGCGAAGAATTTGTCGACGTCCGCGTGATTGCGGAAGTCTATCGACTGAAGGAAGGCCCAGTAGTCACGATCAGAGACATACTGGACGACGGGCGCGCTCTGCGAGATCCTCATAGACTGCACTGTAGATGGTGTGGGGTCACCAACTCGAGGCTGGGCTGCGAGGGGGAAGTCGAAGTGGATATGATTGTGATTCTGAACCTTCACGGGAGGAGGGCTGGCAGTCCGCTCTCGTGCCTTCTCCAATGCCTCCACCTTGTCTTCAAGGTCGAAGAACCATGTTTGGAGTGTGGCGTTTCTGCTCTTCAAGACTCGCATCTCCTCGTGGTAATGGTCTTGGATGTTGCGGATCTCCTGCATGTCATTGATGATGCTGACGGAGTCATCCCTGATGTTTTGTTCAAGCCCAGAGACGCGGTCTGCTAGCGTCGCAAAGTGCCGGCCTGCTTCCGACTCTCCTCAGCACTATTTTGGCAAGGTTCAATGGGCTCATTTGCGTCGGAGCCTAGCCATCGAGGTCAGTCTGAGTCGAGGAGGTAATGTGCGTTCCGGGTTGGCTCACCGCAATTCTGTCTCTTGGACGCGCGATTACTTTCATCGCCTGATTCTAGGGAGGCACGCCGTCTCCTGTTTCCGAGCATCTCCATTGCGTGTTTGAAATTGCGAAACCCGGGACCTTGAAGGCTACTGAAGTCTTGAAGGCTCCTTAGTACGGCTAAAGCTGGCGATGAGAGCCGGGATATATCCAGTGCGCGAGCTATACGAGGGTGTTGACCTGCGCTAAAATAGGGAAGACTGGTATCAAAAGTCAACAGGATCGCGAGATGATGGATGGAGGTCGTTGAGAATTGAGAACAAGACGCGTCCAGGCAATCCTGGACGCGTCTTATTCACCTGGCCTGTGCGTGAAACCCCCTAAGGTTAACCCTGGTCCCTTGCATTGTCCACTTCGGAAAATATCGAAATAGTGCCCTCAGTGAGGGTAAGGATGGCGTCTAAAAAAACACGATACAACACAATTCCTGTGTTGTATTGTGTTGTATTGTATCTTTCAATAGAACACGTGTGGTTATTAGTGGTAGCGTAGTGGATAGTACCTGGTGGTACCACGAACCACCCAGATTTAGCTCGGAAATCTTCGGCGGTCGGAAGAAATTGTCGGCAGCCGATAGTTATGTTTTTAGATAAAACACGGTGTTCTTCCACCCCTAAGTGGGGGCATCGCCATCTCCATCAAACGCCGCAAAAACCAAGCGGTCCGTGTCTGTCAGGCGCTACACCGCCTCACAATTACCGAGGCACACTAAGGGACCTCCACCATCGTAATGCCCGCCTCGTATTCAGCTCCGGTATCCGGTTGCTGCCAAAAGGCGTGAACGGACACGATGGAATGATTGAAATCTCTTCTAGGGCTGGACGCTACGGCGGCTGTATCCGACCGTTGGATCCATGAGGTTATGAGATGCCTACCGTGGTCAATGCGACGCTCGGTTGGTATATAAAATGTGGTTGTCCGCCACGTTATGGGATGAGAAGTTCTGATCACCGCCGTCTGCTCCCACCCACAGGTTCATTACATTCACTCGTTCAAGATGATTTACAACGCTCGTTCGTCACTCGGTGCCATTGCGCTCGCACCTCTCGTTTCGGCTGCAGTCCTTGACCTGCCCATCACATTCAGGAACACATACGTTGGTCATCCACTCCCATACCCGATTGGCAGCCAGCTGACAATCTCCTCATATAGGCTATAGTCGATGTAGCAATAGGGACACCCGCCAAGACCCACTCCTTGATGTTCGACACTGGCAGTGCCACCGCGTGGATTGTCGACGCCGAGTGTGCTGAGGATTGTAACAATGACAGCGGGTGAGTACTCCAGCAAGGTCCAGAGCCCGACATTGAGCACTAACGAACGTGGACAGATGGTCACGAGATGGGTACAACCGGAACGAATCGTCAAGCTCATCCGAGCTCGGCACATACGCCGAGATCTCCTACCTCGGCGGTGTCACCTCTGGCCCGGGCGTGGCAGACACCTTCTCCCTGGGCGACGCAAAATGGTCGCAGTCCTTCATGGATGCCAACGAGAGCTCATGGACCGTTTTGCCCGCTGATGGCTTCCTCGGGCTGGCCTTCTCCACCATCACCGATGCCGGGACTAAGACCATGGTTGAGACCATGATGCAGGCCCACCTGCTAGACGAGCCCCGATTCAGCATCTACTACGGCACAGAACTCAACGACACCGGCAATGCGGCTGGCAAGGGCGTGCTGACTATTGGAGGCTCGGAGGAGGAGAAGTACGTCGATGGCGACTTGACGTGGGTCCCGCTGCAGAGGATCAATGGCGAGTACGAGGTGTGGCGATCAACGCTGCGCATTTTAACCGGCAGCGAGGGTATCAGTGGGAACGGCTCGTCGACAGACACGCAGTTCTACCCCGACGACGCATGGGGCGTCTTCGACAGCGGCGCCGGCACCATCACCGTGCCGCCGCTGCAAGTCGACGCCCTCTACCAGTCCATCGGGATGAACTACACGGCGATCCTCAACGGCGACCACATCCCGCTCTGCACCGAGTTCAACTCGTCCTGGTCCGTGTCTTTCACGTTTGGCGACGATGACGCGAGTGCCAGCACTGTGACCATTACCGGAGACCAGTTAGCGCGTCCTGGGTTTGCCTACCGTGACGATGCGTGCAACCCGCCGTTCGACGGTGGCCACACCGATGGCTTCTTTCTCTTTGGAACGGCCCTGTTGAATCAGTTCTATACCGTGTTCGACTTTGGAGCCGAGAACGTCGAGGACTACGAGCCGCGCGTCGGATTCGGGCAGCTGAAGGAGGAGTATGCACCATGGGTGCCCAGATTACAACTTTCGTGGCCAATACATACATGACTTTAGCACTTTTGAGCTCACACAGCTTTTAGGTCAGGACTGCGAAAAGTAGTATAATAGCGTACAGGACGTCAAGTCCCCAGGTCCCGCCATGTAATCTGCTACAGTAAGGACTCTAAGGTCCGTTTGGTACAATGATCGCCAGGCCGCCGTCGCGCCGGCCACCGCTTGCCATGGCAAGTTTACATGGTCTATTTCTGTGGATCCAGCTTCTCTACCATCGCAACGACATAGGTGGCGCAATTGTTGTCCTTGACATCGAATTTCGGATGGGCTTTCTTGTATTCGTCGGCTGTGAAGATTAGTACCGTCCGGCTTGACTCCAGTCTGGGCGACACTCACCAAGTTTATCAGCATCGTCCGCGTTCTTGTCGGTCTTGCCCAGAAACGCCAAGTCTGCATTCTCCGGCCCATTCCAGTCTGACGGTCCACGATACCTCGAGAGAGTGAGGTCCCAGGCATTGGCCTTAAAGTGCCGCCAGCCGCCGCTTTCGGTCACCTGGCCTAAGACAAGCCAGACATGCGCAAACCCCAGCTTCTTCTGCAGGGCCTTCACGTCCTCCGGGAGTTGCTCGTAGGCCGCCTTTTGTGTTTCGGTGTAGTCCTTCTCGTAAAGCGTCTGCTTGAAGACGTACCACTTGCCTACGTCCAGGCTGTTGTGCCATTGGGCGACTGCCTGGTATGCGTTTGTTCCTTTGATATCGCCATCGCCGCGCTTCAATGCGGGTAGGTCCCTGGTGGCGAAGGGTTCGTGCTTGAAGACGGGGTTTGCGGCGGCCAGGCAGGCCAGGAACGCGGTGACGAATAATGTGAGCTGCATCGTTGCGTCTGTTGGCGATTGTCTAAGAGGTGGTGAATCTCGAGCGAATAGTGATTGATATAGTTGTATGAAAACAGGGGAACACGATCTGCTTGCGATTTGTATACCAGAGAGAAAAGCTGAAGTTTAGATGGTCACCGTTCAACGCCCTTTATATGCCGGGACCTCAAGCTCGCTCAATAATAACGACAAGTTACTTTCGGGCAGAGCGCATATCTTAGTTTGGCATATTACTATTCATAGTTGCCGCCCAGACCAGGTTGTGGTTAGTGATGTTACTATCAGATGGCCCGTGCAAGTCACCAGCATGGTAAACAGTACCGCGAACGCTAGACCAGGGGCCCTAGACGCGTATACCGCCTATGATTTTATATGGGAAGATACATAACGCCGCGCTACTACTTACCATGCTGGTGACCTTTATGTAAATAAGTGGTTCACGTCTCTATACGTCTCCATCGCTCCTTCGCTCTTAATATGTGTTGGTAGGATGCCAAGTCCCGACGTCCACTCCACCTCCCGGCAGTGCCGCGGATTAGTAGGGCTGAAGGAACAGCGGCGCGGTCAACTGCTAACAATACTGCCTCTAACAAGCAGAGTGTCCAGCCCCACACCACCTTCATACGCACACACATACACAATTCTGAGCTAGTACTAGACACGGTATAAGTACGATTTTTTTATATTACTATTTAAAACTATACGTTCAACATATATAACCGTTAATTTAAAAACGTAATCGTACTTTTATCGTCGTTATTACTAGGTTAATACGTAAAAAAAATAAAACTTAATATCTTTTAATAACTATACGATAAAAGTACGCTTTATAACTACTACGTTATTATATTAACGTCGTAAAACCCGTTTTAACTATATCTTCATAATTACGGCTTAAAGCCAATAATATACATATATCTCGATATATACGACGTTTTAACTATAATAACAACTTTAAATACTATACTTTTATCGTTATTAGTAACTATTACGTAACTATGCAACTATATAACCACTTTTTTAACTAGCGTTGTGTATATTACTGCGTATATGTATTATTAGCTACGATTTAGGGCTAATAATATATATATACGTAATGATGTATGCGACGTTGGTACGGGAGCGTTGTCATTAAAAACGTACTTTTTGGTTGGCTGGCACCAGCTCAGAATTGTGTGTGTGTGTGTGTGTATGTGTGTAAAAGTAATGTGGGGCTGGACACTCTTCTCGTTAGAGGCAGTATACGCATTGTAGAGTACAAGTGGCCAATTCACATGGTAATCGCCGCAAAGCTGGTGTAGTATTAACAGCCGTGGTCCCGCCCATATTATCACATCGTCAGTAACTTCCCATTCCGATATTAGTGGTGTATGAGGGACCGCGGAGGATTCTGACGCCATTCTGTGCCGTTCTCGTTCTCCGCCTGTAATAGTGGGGGAGGATTAGTTGCCACTCGAGGAGGTCCACCGAGACTGACTCCGCGCCTCTTCGATGCTTTGAGCGAGGCAGATTCCGGGGGCGATCTCATTTGTCCGGTCCGTGCCACGGCGCAATAAGTTCGAGCAATAAGTTCGAGCAATGAAGGAACTTCTTGTCAGCTGGTTGCATCAAGTGGCGAGTGAAGTGGATACCTAGGGCCGCATACCACCAGTGTATCCTTACGATCTGCCGTTCAAACGGGCGACCGAGTCCGCTGACGACATACAGCAGCACAGTGGGAGGAGACTCATGGCCGAGACGTTCCCGAGCGCTGACTTGCCCGTGAACTCTTACATGTTCAACGTGTATGCTAACGGTGTTCCCGCGGTCTAAGGGGCGACCCATCACCAGGAGTTAGCGTTCCTTTTCACCAATAATTAGGCTTGTGGGTATGCCGTCAACCCGTTTGAGGGCAAGCCGGAGACGTTCAAGCAGTTGGCGGATATGATGAGTCGCATGTGGTAAGTTCTCTCGGTCTTTTTCTTCTCCTGCTTCTTGTGACTAACACGTTTTCTGTAGGGTCGCCTTCATACACAACGGCAATCCCAATCACAACGGGTCATAGTGCCACATGTGGCCTCAATATATGTCACGGCACTAGATGACAGCCCCACAGCCCCAGGGGCTAACCCCTATATATACCTGATCGTGTCACGTAGCTAGCTTCACAGTTTCTTTCCTTCCTCACGTACATCAACAAAGTCGTTTCTAGAGTCTCTAGCAGTCGGACTGTGACAATATACGCCTGCCAAGCCGGTCAATATTGTCTTTGACGTGAACGTGGCCATCCTTGGCTACCCAGCGGCAGATGAGTATATAAAGACGGATATCTCGTTTCTTCTACATGATTCCTTCATTTAGTCTCAAGATACCTGTTTTCTTCGTCTCTACGAACATAATTGTAGCTAATTAATCCAGAAATGGAATCCCTTGAGGTGACGCCAGCGAACCTGGAAGAAAATCTTTAGTTCTTGATCGATGTGTCTGACTTGGCCCTTTGCATCGCTGCTAGATCTTACGAATCGCCACGTCGCCGAATACTCCGCACCGGGAGCTATCCTGTGTATGTGCCACCTCGTTGATGACCTAGCTCCGATTGGACTATGGTTATCTAGTGAAAGAATGATCCCGCTCGTTCGATGCGCCTGGGAGGGGTTGGGCCAATAAATATCACCACTACCATGCCCCACCCACCACTCGGACTGCAAAATCTACTGCCACACACCAAAACATCAACAACTTCACTTATAGCGGAATCAGTCAATTCATGGTGTTTTCGGCTGTTAAAACGTACAATCTACTCGTATATGGCGGTTTAATTATTGTATCTAGCCGGCCGGCGACTCTGTCGGCGCAAACGGGTCTCTACAGGGGCCACAATCTCCTCTTCTTCTTCCGAATCAGAGCTTTCATACTTTTTCTCTTTATCAGTGGTATCTTTAACAACAACTGGCTGCGCGGCCTTGCGGCCTTTTTGAGGCTGTTCTTTACTAGCTGCCAGAATATCCGGGATATTTTTGAAGTATTTATTCATATTGGGGATCTTTCTGTGTTTTTTTGGACGCATACGCTTCAGTTGGCCTCCAGGCTTTCGATCTTCTGGTCCTTTAGCACTATCTCTGCTGATTGCTTCTCAAAAGCATTCACAACCTTGTGTAACTTCAGCCGAGTGGTTGGGGACTTGTTTTTGCCCATATCTATGATTTGGCGGCTATTTTTGTGCGTCTGGAAGTCTTTAGGTTCTGAGTTTTCGACCTGTTCAGGCTCAGGGGTTGCGGCCTTATCCTGTTGGATTTCTAGATGCGACAACGCTTTTTTGCGGTTAATAGGCCAACTACCAGTAGTTCTGAAGCCAGCCTGGCAAATTTTAACTGTCAGGCCATCCTTCCTTGTCTTCGAGTAGCATCTGATGAAGTTGATCTTGTCCACAGGGACAGCATCAGTTAGAGTAGCTAACTGAGCAATATGCTTGCAGTAAGCAGCTTTCACGACGTTAAAAGGGCCGTTATCAAGTAGTTGAAGCCCGTGGGAGGTGTGTACTGGAAGAAAACAAAGCTGAACGTTATTTAAGAAGCACATGGTTATGAATTCATCCTACCGCTAAATGGTTAGCTATATATCTATTGATTTCCAAAAAAAAAAAAAAAAAAGGAGTTAATACGTACAGAGGTATAGCCCTTATGCCCATTAAGAATCAAGAGTACCGCTTCAGAATTATCATCTTCTCGTACCTAGTTAGCCTGAGAGAGGAAAACACTCTCTAACCACTCTACGGTAACTGCGTTATCCGTCCAGCCATTATCAATGCATATATAATGTCAAGGGACAATCTCTCTGAACTCCCAAAGGAACCACTGCGCATGAAGGTCTTTTTTTTTTTTTTTTTTTTAAATATAATGCCTGGTGTAAGGGCCTTGCCTGTAGCAGAGATGGCCTCAATAAAGGAGGTCCAGCCGCGGCCTTGGTCGCTCTTCAGGAAGGTCTTTTTTGTCTCTGTACTGCCTAAAATGAGACCATCAAGCCTTAGATGGATTAGTTAATAGATAAAGGTAACATAGGATTATTCAGGTATTAATCAGGGGCTTTCCCGTACTGAAACCCGCTATGATACCGCCCTTATCCACATTGTACATGTTCTTGGGCTTTATCCAATAGAAATCTTCGCGATGATCAAAATACCAGTTAACAGACTTCAACATAAAGCCCTTAAATCGAGCAGCTTCCTGTCTGCGGCTAATTTTTGTCTTTATTGTTGAGGCGGTCAGACAGGGTCTGCTTAGGGATACCCCATTTCTGAGCGGATTTTTTGACCAACAGCTTGTTACCTGTGACATCTAGTATAGCATCTGCCATATTATCCTCCGTATAAGAAGGCATTTCGAGAGTCACAATACTGCGTTGCATACAGAAGAAGAAGAGAACGGGTGCATAAATGGCAAATTTGCCCTTATGAGGGGTAGAAACCACGGGTAGGGGGACCCCTTATCGCCGGGTCTGGCTAAAAGGATCTACATTGGGATAAACCTTAAGAAAAGAGCTATTCAGCGAGTTAATTAAATTACAAATCACTTCAAAAATAGCTGATTTCGGTGTACGTGAAGTTGTTGATGTTTTGGTGTGTGGCAGTAAATTTTGCAGTCCGAGTGGTGGGGGTGGCCGAGTGGTGGGTGGGGTATGGTATAGTATACAATGCTACTCTGAAGATGCGGAATGCGGAGTTGCTGGGGTGCTTTCGAAATGGGCAACTGATCGCGATCTTCAGTGGCGTTCATCACTGTCCGTATTCGATGGAGTGGTGGTGAGTGGCCGAGGAGCGCATGCACTCTGCTCCTTGGCACATGAATAGCATAAGATCAAAATTGGGCCTCAAAGCTGGATGTACGGCGCAACGCAGACTTTGGAGGACTCAACCTTGTCGCCCAGATGACAGCAACTCCTTCCAGGCCATCCCTTACTATACACACTCTGGTCATAATCGAGCAACTCGGTAGGCCGTATCCTCATATCCTCCGCCTAAATGCTGTCCCAACTCTTGTGTCTTCTGGCCGGGCTGAATGTGCTGCTTCTTATTAGACGCACCGTGAGCTCTCGGGCACAGTCTCCGCTACCACTTCTGCCGGGTATGAATGCTAGCTCTCTTCGTGGTCTCATTTAGATGTAGTGTTAGTCGTCTACTTACAAATTCAACATATGGCCCCCTCCTTTGCCTGTCATTGGCAACCTCCATCAAGCTCCCAAGTCTCACCCTTGGCTACAATATTATGAGTGGGGCAATAGCTATGGGCCAATCCAATATCTCAATATGGGAGGTCAGCCCATAGTGATACTGTCGTCGATCAAAGTAGCACAGGACCTGATCTCCAAGTATGTGCTTCCTGAAATTTGTCTGGCTCGGGCGTCCCAAGCCTTAGAGCTACGGGAGAGCCTCAGATTCAGTTTGTAGACTGCAACTTCTAACAGTCTATGCCGCAGGCGAGGGTCCAAGTACGCGGACCGCCCCCGACTCATAGTCGCGAAATTAGCTACCAGGGGCATGAATATTATGCTTCGAAGCCATGACGAGACATTTCGGCTGCACCAGAGATTGCAAGCACCTCACCTGGCACGGCGGGCCGCCAAGACCTACCTGCCGGTGCAGGACTTGGAATCGAAGCAGCTGTTATTCAACCTCATGACCCAGGGTGAGTCCGACGAGGGAGTCGACTTTCACCACGAGTTCGAGCGGACGACGGCCAGTATCATCTACGCGCTCATCTACGGTAAACGACTAAAGACTGCGTATGACCCTTTTCTGGTCAGGGCGCGCGATGTGGAGAACCGTTCGTGAAGATGCTCCAGGTCGGCGCATACCTCGTCGACAGCTTCCCCTCGCTGCATGACCTACCACTTCCCGGCTTTCTGACCCCCTGGAAGAGAGACAGGGAGGAGAATTTCCAGGCGCAGCTCAAGCTACATGTCGCAAACATGCAGCACGGGCTCGAGAACCCCGCGACGTGGAACTTCACCAAAGAGTTTGAGAAGAGCCCCGAGCGCGGACAGTTGTCCACCGAGGAGGTCGCCTTCGACCTGGGGATCCTCGCCGACGCGGCGCTGGACACGACTACCATGACCCTGGATTGGTTCGTCGTGGCATGGATTACACAGCAGGACACGGGCTTCGTGGCCAAGGCGCAGCAGGCCCTCGATGATGTGGTCGGGCGCAACCGCTTGCCATCGGCCGCGGACAGGGCCAGACTTCCGTACATAGACGCGATGGTGGAGGAGATCCTGCGGTGGCGGCCCATCGTGGGCACCGGTGTGGCCCACGCCGTGCGCACAGAGGACGATTATGATGGCTACCGAATCCCAGCCGGTTCCATCGTGCTGATCAACCACTGGGCTCTGTGCCGCGACGCGGCATTCGGCGAAAGAGTGGAGGACTTCGTGCCGGAGTGGTGGATCGTCGACGGGGAGGTCAAAGACTATTTCGGGTCGCCCGTGTTAGGGTACGGGCGACGGATATGCCCTGGCCGACACATCGCGCGGAACAGTCTGTGGTTCCAGATTGCCCGGATGTTGTGGGCGTTTCGTATCGAGCCCGCGCTCTCTCTCCGACAGGCCGGAGGTTCGCTGTCCTCCCCAACGCTGGAACTGATTCTCTGCTCACGAAGCCTTTGCCGTTCAACGCGTAGTTCGTGCCGAGGGGCGAATGGGCACGGGACCTCATTGCAAGGGAATGCAGTGACGCGGTGGACTGCAACCGTACCGAAGTTCTCAATCAGATAGGGGTTAATAACTCCTAGCTTGTACCCAATAGGCGGAGCTCTTGTTCGGTGAAGTTATCACCCGGGACACTCTGTGTAAGTGGTAAGTTAAGCAGTAGTTTTTCTGGCTTGCGAGGTGCACGACCACCCCCTGGGTAGTTTATCACACGGAGAAAATTTCCTATAGCAGCGAAATAACATGGTGCGAGGAGTACAATCTATTCTCGGCTATTTGACTAATCATTCTACATCATGTTCCTGCCAGTGCGCTTCCTCGAGTGACCACTCACAAGAAGTTTGCCAACTGGTATTCCTCGTCATTATGACCAATCTTTCCTAACTTGAAGCGGTTGCGGTTTCGGTTGCGAATGCGTCGCACGGTTTCAGCCAGATTCCGGGTGTCATACAACTGGATGAGTACCGGTTTCATCTCCTGCCCCTTCCGGTCCACGCGGCCGAAGGCTTGCGTTTGCTTCTCTACGCTCCCGGGCACTTCAGACAGGATCACGTGGGAGGCTCTCTGCATATTGTGTCCCTCGCCGCCGTTAATGAACGTGCCTAGGAATGTTTTCATCGGCGCGTTTGGCTTGCAGACCTTGTTCATGTAACCACATAGATCGCCTCTGTTCTTTTGCCCCCCGTGGGCGTATATGAACTCGACATTTTCCTTAGAGAATCGCTGGTAGAGACACATGAAAGTAAGGAATGTCGACAACGGGGAGTCAGAGAAGACGAGCACGTGCCGAGCGTTCGAGCCGTCTGGGGGAGGCGGGCCAAGCGCCGCGACCCGGTCGTCATTTGCGGTAACACTCGGAGCTTGATAAGTTCGGCGATGTTGTCCCCAATTGCCCTTATCTTGGGAGACGCATCGAGGAGTTCCCGTCTGTGGTCGTACCAGGGCGACTGCTCGAGCAAGGCGAGATCATCTCTCTGGTTTGCTTTCTGGCCTCTGAGGACTGACGACAGAAGATCGCTAATCTGCTTTGACAATGGGCCAAGCTTGTCTACGAGCATTTGCTCGTATGCTACCGTATCGCTAGAGACAAGTCGAGCTACGGCAGGAAAGCAGGAAGCGTGCATAATGATGGAAAACGAGCTGTTCCCGCCAGGCGCACCGGGTGCACTTGCAGCCCGGTCAAGAAGCCTTCTCTCAACGGCTCCTCGCTCGGGTGCTTCGCCTCTTTGACCGTCCTTTTGCCACTGCTCGATTTTGTCCTTGAAGTCTTTGTCAATTCAGGCCTCCACATGTCCAACCAGTTCGCGGAAAGCATTGTAAACGGCTCCTTTATACATGTCGTGCTTTAATTCGATGACGGGCGCGGACTTGAAAATAGGAACGCCTCTGAAGAAGGAGTCCTTCTTTCGGTCCTGCATCATGATCGGGATGAACTTCTCGAGAAATGCCTCGAGGCTGTCGTGACGGTTGTCGTAATCACCGCTTTTCTTGCTGTCTTGTGTGTTGAAATGGTCAAGGAGATACCGCCAAGTTGTCTGGTATTGGTCAAGGTCAGAGACTCTCTTCAGCCCTGCAAGATCCATCACCCATTCTTGATTTGCTGCAACGTTGAAAGCATGCTCTACGAAGGGCCGCCAAAAAAGCGGATTGCTTCTCAGTGAGCCCGACAAGCCTACAGCAACAGTAGGGTATTTGGAGTCCCAAGCAATCTTCTTGAGGAACCTAAAGGGCTCCGTGAGACTGTCCTTGCCGCCTCGATACCCATGAAATTCATCGAAGAAGACAAAAGCTGCGGCCAGCTGGCTCATGTCCATATTTTTCGATCGAAGCTTGCCATCGTCGGGTCCAGCGTAGGTGGCATTCTTCTTGACATACTTGGCCCTCAAGCTCTCAGTTCCTAGCCGACTCACAAGGATGACTCTCTGTGACCCGCGGGTGTCTCTAGGAACCAGGTCGTAGGTCGGCTTCGGTGCTGCGTTCGGGTTATTGTCATGAGCATGGATCCAATCTATCTTGGCTTTGGTGAGATCCGTAACGAATAGACTATGCGCGTAGTCCGATTTATCGTATGACGTATGGGAACCGGATATCTGCATTCCCCTTGAAGGGCTCCCTACGCTCTTGCAAGCCACTTACCAAACTCGCTGACCCAGTTCGGGAGGAGGTCCGGGGGGCATACGACGATGCTAGGAAGGGAAGGCAGCGTCATAGCAATCTGGTGAGAAGGACCCGAAACGACGCAAGGACACAGTATGCCCCGAGGTCTTTGACTAGGGCAAGCGACGTCTTTGCCTTGCCTCCCCTTGCCGAGATGTTCTCTGGCTACGACAGGATGTAGGGTTCTTTTGGTGTCCCACTCACCTAACACCTCCTCATATTTGACGTGGATGATTCGAAACAAAATCAAAACGCAGATTGACATGCCTGTTTTATCGAACCCCACGTCGTCTCCGATCATGAAAGATGCTATCTTTCTAGTTACTTGCCTGAGAGTGAGGTAGACCGCGTACATCTGGTACGGTTCGAGAGAAAGCAATATACCGTCAAGCTTAACCTTCTCAGCTTCGGGAGCGCAGTTGAAGAATTTGCATACTTCTCTCCAGGTGTCGTCATCGACGGTGTTGTAGTCGAGATTCATCTGCTGCAAGACCGAATCCTCGCTTACGGACGATTCGTCCTCGCTCAAACCAGCTTGTGGGGCTGCGGCTTCTTCTTCTGCTTCTTGGGGGTCATTTCTGGCCGGGGAATCATCTCCAGCCGAGGAGGCAATTTTACCTGCTGGAGTGGTTGCGCTTTTTCTGGAGGAGTTGGTATTGTTTGGGAGTGGTGAACCCTGGGGACTTGGTCGTTGGCGGTTAGGAGTTGAAGGAGCTTGAGACGGGAAGTCCAAAGGGTTGATTAAACCTGAAAGATCGTCTCCAAGTCCGGACCTACTGCCAGGTGAGTCAGTAACCTCCGAGTTCCTTCCAAGTCCTTCCAGTGGGCGCGGAGTTCGGCCAGGTCCTGCTGGCGAAGAGGAGTCGATAAAAATGTTATCGGGATCCGAAGGCTCCGACGCACCGGGATCCCCTAAGTTCCCTGAAGCTCGCGAAGACGTTGTGCTTTCCTCACGCTGTGGCGCCGACTCCGAATCGCCTTCTCCCTCATTCATACTAAATTCATTGGCTGCCTCCAATGGAAGTGTTGGAAGTCCGGTCTGAGGGTTGATAGTGAGCGGTACACTACCCCTTTGGATCTGTGTCAACGCAATCCAGAACGAGCTGGTGCTATCGATGTCGACCATGCGTATGATATCAGGTCGAGAAGGGCCGACAAGCGGGCCGACAAGCGGGCGTCCAGGAGGTATCGCACTTTCAACTTCCACCCATTTTCGAAATTCATCATAGTCGAAATCACTGCTCACACGGATGCTCGACGTCCGGCCTCGATCACTGATAAACTGGGTCAACGCGGCGAACACATGGCTCCTTGACACTGCCACAGAGGGGTCTCGTAGTTACCTTCTAGACTCCCGGCTGGGGATCTGGATGAGTACATGATTAAGATTCGCCTCTTGAGGTGCATTAGGCAGACCAAATGACGACATGTTGCAGGTATTGTATGTGGATCTGTAGGCGGGATGGTTGACAATTAATGGAGCTGGGTTGCATATGATTCGAATAAGAACGAGCAAGTGGTGTTGTCGTACTTGACAGAAGTACTGAGAGATATGGTTAGAAATGAGTATGTATTGTGACGAGCCGTCTAACCTATAAGGCTAAAGGGTTCTATAGGGTTTATGTTCTGAGGTAAGTCAACACAAAAGACGATAGAGGCTTCTGTCAACTAGAAGACACTCAGATGCTGGGGCTTGGTCTGAACTGGGTTCACTGAATAGTCGAGTCATCAGGAGATTTTTCCCACCTTAGGGTTGGCTAAGATGCTTAGATTGATCACTGAGGTAGAGACTGTCTATCTGTCTAACTAGGAAATGTCCATCCTTATATATCCAATCTCTCCCTCACTGATGGGGTGGATATGTTGGATAACCTTGCTATCCAAGCTATCCTGGATATGTTGGATAACCTTGCTATCCAAGCTATCCTGGATATGTTGGATAACCTCGCTATCCAAGCTATCCATCACGTGATGTCTTGATCACGTGACCTAGACGTTTCCTTAGCCCGTGCGTTCTCCCGGGTTCTTCCAGTTACTGTCCATCTTGTTGGGCCTGCCAGCGGGCCTCATTCCCTGTACGCCTCGTTGGTTCGTAACATGTATCAGGCCAGTGGGGACGGGACGCTCTTATATATACAAGTTACTGCTTCGCGACCTAATAGACCCATACCGCGAATGCTACTAAAATCCCTTATTACACGATAAGAAGCCACGATTCTTTCTCATGATATAGTGAGCGGCAGCTCTCACAATGAGATTGTGTACTACCCCTGAAATAGAACAATAACTTATGCTATTTCGGGAGCTCTTGGTAGACGATCAAGGCGTTGTGTGTTTAAGGGTGAGAAAGAACCATTCTACCGAAGACAATGAGTGCTGCAACCTTTGTACGTATTCAAAGGCCTCCTGGTGGTAGTCAAAGATGCTAGGTGTGGTCCTGACATGAAAAGTCCGAGGTACCCGAAATTCTCGACACTCAGCTAATAAGTAAACAATTTTCTAAACGAGTTGTAGTAGAAGGTACGCGCAGGTTGCCACAGGTGTTACTATTGAAGTTTCCAATCCTCATCTGGCTTTCTTCGGGCTTTCAAGCAGAAAACACACTTTGACGGCGGTATATTATAATTCCCAGGGTAGAAGTCGTGGGGACCGTCTAGATTGGCCCCTTTCGGGCCGTTCTGATGGATGCTAATGTAACCTGACCTAAGTGAAGCATGAAAATCCCTTGTCTCGAGATCCAGTCGTGGGTCATGGCATTTTTTTCAATTTCAATATGTAAAAAAAACGTCCATTAAACGGCTGCTATCGGAGTAGCAATGAGGGATCGTTACCAATAATCGTAGTCCGATTGGCTTGAGTCATTGGGATCGTCGCTCTTGTTTGACCCATGGAAGTTTCAGAAGAGACCCATCTTTTCTCTATCGGACCCAGCGACTCGCTGGCTGTGTTTGGCATTATTTGCGATTATGGGAGTTTCGCCGTAGTTGGAAGTTTTGACCTTTTAATCGATTTTTTTATGCCACCTGTACTACTAAAGTCAACCGATGCTCCATGGATGTGAAGATGTTTTTTCCAGTCATATTGGCTACATGAGAATTCACTTATTAAGCCTCTCAGTATGCGTGAAATGCATTGCTCCCAGCGAGATAATAATGCGCGACCTTTTACAGATTCCCCTTCCCCTAGAGCCTTGGCCGGTTGCGTCGGTCCTTCAATGGAAACGATGAAAGGCTGCAAGCGAGCTAGGTGAATGCCATATAACAGTCCGCCAATTGGCGCCTTCTCGGTAAAAAGAGCACTCATTGATGGCTGCTCGGTATTGCCTCTAGCAAGCAACTGCGGACGATGAATCCAGCGTGTTTCGCCATTCTAATGTACGAGGCAAATCAACAGAACGGTCCCATATCCGCGCCGCCTCTTTTTGAGTTACAGTGTGGTCCACCTCACGCATTAAAACTCTTCCTCTTCATACGGGTAGCGAGAGTGGTTGTTGATCAATATTCCAAGTCCAGTGGCGACCAATGATCATCATGTCCTCTTCAACAGACCTGAGACTAGGTGTTTTAAGCCAAGTATAGCTCCTCAGACCTCCATCATGCCCTGATACCTCAGGAAGCGTTCAATCCCAAATGTTCATACTACTATATAAGAGGCCCATGCCTATGCCTAGGTGGCAGTTCATGTTAATCTTTCACCTAGCCAGATTCTACTGTCCTCTTATCAAGGCGAGTAAGTACCTATATATTTCGTCGCTATGGTTAGGTCACCCAACAGGTCTGATGCAGTAGATGGTGCTCCCAGGTACATGCGAAGTTCATTGCTTGGTCAATTCTGGTACGTGATCGATACCGGCGCTGACAAGTACCAATGCTGACTAGTACCGAGGACGACAAGCACCAGGAGTTCTAGTGTTCAAAGTAATTTGCCCCTGACAGCGAAAGTCCCAGCGGCCGTTCACATCGTAATTGCACTCGATATTATTCTGTACGTGGGAAACACACGTGACTCTCTTCAACATCTGGGTCTCGCAGCAGGAGTCCTGGTACTTGTAACCCCCCATTAGGGTGCCGGAAAATGGAGGGTTCGTAGCGTGACATGCAGTTTTCAGTGGAAGCCGCTGTGATAAAATCAGTGAATAGCAGATGCAAAAGGCAGAGACACGTCGTGCAGGGCCGTAAATATATCGCCAAAGCAGTTCAGTTGAGAACAGCCAGCCACATGGGGTCATTCGAGCGGCTGCCCACTTTTTCGGGTTGGGATCTGCTATCCGTTTGCTTTAACCAGCTTGCTTCGTCTTACCAATCCCCGGCTTTTTAGTCTCCACCCAAGCATCAGCAAAACCTGTTCGCCGACTCATGTATGTATATTCCAGCTTCGTCTTAGTTGTGGAGTTTCAGCAAACGTCAAGGGGTAGCCGTGCACTACTTATTGCCTTGTAATCATACGCCCAAGCCCAAGCCCTTTCCGCGCATCGATTTGGCCCCCTGTGTCAAATTTCTCTAGGTAGATACAGGCCTTAAGCGTTACGAGTCGCTTGAACCTTATCAGGACGTTGTATGTGTTAGCGTCATGTATAACTTGAGGAGAATGACATAATTCTCAACCCACTAGGTCTACTTACTTGAGAACCATTGGTTCCTACATCCAGGGGCCACGAACATCCTGTGGTCCAAGAGGATTGAAGTTCAAGTTGACCTGTATATCTATCTGGGCTCATACGTCGCTTAAATCCTAACTCATCTTGAATTCGCGGTATGTCGTGGCAAAAGCTCCTTGCATCAACATCATGGTCTGTGCAATTTCCGCCTTATGGCCTTTCAGACCCATGGTTATTACGATTTAGACCAGGGGGCAAAGTCTTTCGGAGCGCTGACTCTGGCTCCTTAAAGCGGTTTGCGAATAGCGCGTTTTGGGGACAGAGTGTTCTTAAACTTACAATTAGGTGTTTCCCCCCTCCGAACCTCAGTGAAGACACCGTCGTGGGACCCTCCACCGATGCGCTGTTGGTGGTATCAGGCTATCCCAATTTACGACGTCAGATACAGCATATCAGAGAAACATGAACTGAACAGTGGCCACATTTAACGGCTGAAGAAATGGTCCGAGCGGAGGGGGCAAAAGGTCTGATTGACATCTAAGACCAACTCAATATCTGAAAACTACGATCCTAGGATAAGCCCACTCGGAGCTTTGCTCCGAACTGTGGCTGTGAGAGGACAAAAAACCAGGCAGAAGAGGTCGAAGCGAATACGTCGACATCACCGTTATCCGAGCAATACTACGCTGCACATTGGCAACGATACGAGATCCGAGTTGATGATTCCCCCTATCCGACCGCACCACAAAGCTAAATGCTCCTAGCCCTTACCGGTGCTGCCATGGGTCGGATAGAAGCTTTGGTGATGCCCTTTTAGACTTTGGGGCAGAAGCCATACTTGCACTAACGCAGATCACTATGCATTGCTAGGCAACCTTATATCTGCTAGGCCCTACTCCTCACACGTCATGAACCCAAGTCTCTGGACCAACATTCACATTTGGCCAGGGCGATACCCGTTTGGGCTGTGCACCAGGACACTGCAACACGCCGTCAAGGATTGATCCTTGGGACCATGCCCCAATGTGGAATAGAGGAGACCCGGACTGCACCCTGCAGTGACAACGCCTTTACTGAACTATCACTTCTCCGGGAGGGAAACCACTCCATCGGTAGGTCTCCATCCAGCTGCCACCAACCAAACTATGTGACCTAGACCCGTAGAGCTTCACCATGCTGAGCAATGAGATGGGAGTCGTTAACTTACTGGCCTGCCCGCGTAGCTGTGCTACTTCGATCCGCAGCCGTAGAACACAGTCTTCTTATTCAACCAACCTCCATCTGCTAAACCAATCGGCTACCAGCTGGGAGGTTGGCAGCAATGTACCCTGTGGTTTGTTCTCATACCACCCTCAGCTTCGCGGTGGCCATATTGCCGGTTCAATGCGGTCCGGGCTAGGCATTAGATCTTGATCAAGTTGTAAGCAGTGGAGGCAAGGAGATACCCAATATGCTTCTCAACTTGCGCCCCTTGGCATCCAACATCTAAGCGTCTCGCCTCATCATTCTCCACCCCAACTATAACTTCGCCCATGCTTAGTGTCTGAAGAACCTACATATCGGCGTTGTTTTCCCCCTTACACCCCTGCGTCCTGTCACTTGCCACCCTAATCTCTGGCGTCCGTACTCGAGATGACAGCAGCAGGGTTGATAATGCGTGCCTTTGATAACGGCCTTGGTGTGAACGGCTTCGCTGGCGATGACTGTAAGGTATGCGTCCCAAAGGTTTAAACAGCTCACTGACTTCTACCAGCATTATCCCCCCTCGGCTCTCTACATGCTCCATACCTACCGAAATGCATCATGGAAAGTACCGATACAGAATGTCCCTGGGGAGCCTTCGATGTTACCAACACCAACCAACTGACCACCCGTCCCGAGACGAATGTCACCCGATACTATGATTTCAACATCACGAGAGAAACAGTAGCCCCCGACGGCGTCGAGGTACAACTTTTATTAGTCAATGGTGAATTTCCAGGGCCGTTGATGGAGGCCAACTGGGGGGATTGGCTCGAAGGTGAGTTCGGCACGCAGTGACCACATCGACTGGCCGTCACTGACCGACCACCAGTCACTGTTCATAATAACATACCAGAGGAGGGCTCGACGTTACACATGCATGGAATCTTGCAGCAAGAGACACCATGGATGGATGGAGTACCTGGTATCTCTCAGTGTCCGATTGCGCCGTATGGCACATTCACATATCGATTCAAACCCGACTTATATGGTGCTTCTTGGTGGCACTCACACTGGGAAGGTCAATATGTCAGCGGCATGTCCGGACCATTGGTTGTCTACGGGCCGACTCACGTCGACTACGATATCGACGTCGGCCCGGTCTTCGTCACGGACTACTTCCATGATTACTACACGAGCATAGCTGCCGGCTTCATGGAGAATGTAATCGACGTCACTCTCTCCGACAACAACCTGATCAACGGCAAAAACTCATACGACAGCAATGGCGCACCACTTGCGGCCTTCAACTTCCAGTCAGGCAAGGTGCACCGACTTCGCCTCGTCAACGGTGCCGCGTTCGCTGTGGAGAAGATTTCCATCGACGGTCTCAACATGTCAGTCATCGCCAACGACTTCGTTCCAATCGTGCCCTATTCAACAGATGTGGTGACTCTCTCACCCGGCCAACGGACGGACGTGCTCGTCCAAGCGACAGACGACTCTACAGACTCTAGGTGGCTGCGAGTGTACAAGCCACCGAACTGCTCGCCCGGCAAGGAGGGATCATACTTGGCCCTTGCGGCCATCTTCAACGAGGGTGCCGACCGCACCAAGGCGCCCACAACGGAAGCTGGGCCCAACGCCTACAGCGCCTACTGCGGCAACGACCCTCTCTCACTCACAGCGCCAGCGCTGACCTTGACGCCGCCGGAACCGGACGTCACCGAGATCCTGCCGATCGAGTTGCGTCCGAACGGCACGTCCAACCTGTGGTACATGGCCAACCGCACGTTCCGCGTCGACTACAACGACCCGATGCTGCTGAACGCCAAGAAGGGCGACCTGGACTTCCCCCACATCCAGAACGTCCACGACTACGGCAGCAACGCGTCGCTGCGGTTCATCATCCAGAACACCGGCTTCCAGCCGCACCCGATGCACCTGCACGGCCACAACTTCTGGGTCTTGCAGGAGGGGGCCTGCACTGATAACGAGACCGTGTTTCCCCGCGGCCAGGGACGACACGGGGACGGGGAAATCGGACACATGAGGTCGCCGAGCCAGATGTCTAATCTGTTTGGTGGAAGACATCACCACCACAAGCTCGAACTTGCGGTCACGCCCGTCGAGGAGCACATGGTGCGACGTTCCGACGGCTTGAATTTTGGCAGCAGCGACTACGGGTCCTGCTGGGATGGATCGATCGTCAATCCCACCAACCCCCAGCGACGCGATGTGCAGATGCTTCTGCCCGGCAGCTACATCGTCATCCAGTGGATGCAGGACAACCCGGGTCTCTGGCCACTCCATTGTAAGCGAACACTTCCACATTGATCTGGGAAGGAGTCCATTGCTAATTGTTGGGGACAGGTCACATCGCCTGGCACTTGACTGCCGGCTTCAACTGGATGATTCTCGAGCGCCCTGACGATATCATCAGCGGTATGCCGATCCCGGACGCCGTGGCCCAGACTTGCACAGATTGGAATGCTTGGACTAGCAACCATATCGTTGGTAAGTCATTGTCACGCGCTGCGCTGTTTCTGTTGGGCGCACTAACGATGGGATAGAACAAACGGGCGCCGGCCTATAGCCACGGAGTCCAAAGGGGAATACCGGCTTTTGATATTCATATCGTGAATATTGGGAGAAGGAGACGAAGGGAAACAGCGCTGGAGACATCAAAGCAATATCTCTTTATGGTTGTGACATTATGAAGCCTCCGTACTGAAAGTAAAAGTAAACGGACCAGATTAGGATCATTATAAACGGAGTTGGATGTATACATGAATTTTTGTAGCACTTGTGTAACTATGGTTTACTCTGATACCGGTACTCGTAATATGTAGATTATCATCATTTCTCAGATCAACAGCCTCTTTAGTCTTCACGCGTTGCTATTTCTGTTTTTGCGATAATCGATCCACAGTGGCAGGTTAGACGACACTTCGGTGCACGATGAGAGCGACTCGTCAGACTTCCTCAGGTAATCTATCAAACTGGATGGTCTTGGCAGACTAAGAGCATACGAGAGGAAACAGTCGACTCCGTCCACATGTCTGAGCTCTCCAAAACTCCGAAATTATCCCAATGGACCTTAGATAAATATTCATGTGTTTCGGCTTGCGAAAGACAGTCGCAGACTAGGCAACTCCATCGTGAAGTTATCTCTGGTACCCGCTTCCAAGTACTCAATGTCCCCAAACTCACTCGGCTTGACATCAAATTTAGTTATAATCTCTGAAATGGTGTTTCGTATATTCTGCAGTGCCAACTTCTTGCCAATACAAGCAGTGGTTCCTGAGCATCGTTAGTTCTGTGAGATATTGAGCGGATAGGAGGTGAAAATTGGGTCAGTACCATGTGAGAACGGGGCGAAAACTCTCTTGTCCGCGACCATCTCCGGTCTTGAGGACCATCTCTCCGGAATGAATGAGTTAGCCTGTTCATATAAGCTCTCCGCTGTACGTTGGGGCAGATTGTCAGCAACGGAATCTCTCAGAAAAACGAAGCTCCGGCAGAACTTACTGCGTCCTATGGCATACTGCGAGCACCACACTGTCATGTCCCCTGGGACATGCACCTCCCCAACCGTGATTCCTTCTGATGGCGTGCGACGAGGGAGGGCCGTGGGTACCGGTGGGTGAAGCCTCAATGTCTCATCTATCACGCAGTTCAAGTGTGGTAGACTCTGGATCTTCTGAAAGTCGACCTGTCCATCTGTCATAAATGGTGCGAGCTCGTTCCTGATCTTTTCGATATGCTCGGGGTGCTTGACCAGTTCATATAGCGCGTGTGTTAATGTGGCTCCCGTCGTATCGCTAACACGTAGGACAAAGTCAGTTTACGGGCGGGCCCTCTCAACCTGGGGCTTGTGGCCTCAGTACTAACCTTCCCGCAACAATGAGCAACCTTGAGTCGCCTTGCAGCAACTTGAGCCCACGTTTAGGCATCGGTGCACCCTCCCAAGGTTTGAGCAGAGTGGACATGATATCTGGAGTATCAACCTTGGTCTGTTTCACACGACGTATTAGAATCGCCGCAAAGACACAAGGGAGTCATGATAGCTGGTAGGTACCTTGATACGCTTATCAAGCGTGTCGCAACAGAACGAAACGTAACGTTGAAAGTCCCCGCCAAGTCCTGGAATTGCCATGAAAAATCGGAAGAACCACACCGGAGCGTGGATAGAGAAAGCTCTCAATCCAGCGTGGAGGATCGAGATGGCCCAGTGTTGTTGAGACGTCGCCAGCATGTCGAAGGAGCGCCCGAAAGCCAAGTCTCCCATCACATCGAACGTGTAAAAGTTGAACCACAGCGTCATATCCACGGGCTGCTCTTGGGAGACGGACTGGGATAGATGACTTATGAGTCTTGCCCTGTAGCTCTTGGTCCTTTCTTCGTAACCCCTCACAGCATTGTCACTGAATGCATCACTCCAGATTCGTCGGTACTGGCGGTGTAGGTTCTTGTCTCGTGTCGACTGTAGTGAAAGCATGGGGACGGACAAGTCGTACCATGCTCCCAGATCACAGCCCGACGCGGTTCCATACACTGCAGTGACGCCATCGGGATGGACGATGGAGAGGTCTGAGGAGCCAATCCGAACAAAATCCCCGTACTTCTCATGAAGCTCCAGAACCTTCGTATGGGCATCGCCCTTCCCGAGTTGTGTGGAAAACCACAGGCTGGTCAACTTGGCTGCAGACGGACCGGGGAATTTGTTCAAAGGGTGGAGCCATTGACGATAGACAAGCAAGCTCAAAAAGATCCCTCCAATGTAGCATGCTGCTGCCGACAGAACCTGGCTTGATGTGAATGGTGCCTTTTCTCCGATGACAAACGGGGCGCATGACAGTGCTACAACGGCTGTACCAAATGACAGCACATACTGCATGCCATGTAGGTGGTGCTCTCCGCGATTGAAGAACAAAACATGGCAAATCACCCCTACCGCTGTAGCAGTGATAGCCAAAGAGGCCTCCATCACGCCGAGCGTCCCAGCCGATTATGGTGGGCTGGACGGGTTTCGTGGCCAAGAAGTATTCGAAGTTCGAAGGGCTATAGCATGTAGGTGATGATTGGTCTGAGAGCATAAGAAGACGCAGCTTAGAAGACTACCCAGCCTCCATGTGACGGTTCTGAAAATCCTCATATATGAGCTCGAAGCTAGGGATGAACGCGTTTCCCTTGGTAAACCAACCAACAGTCAAACTGCAGGTGAACCATTTGGACGTAACCAACATGCCATCCGATTATCAAATATATACACCCACCCCTCCTCCAGCAACGACCACCCACCAAGAGCAATCCCTTTAAGGCAGGCTGCGGAGCAGGGGAGACTGCATGCTTACCAACTGCATGTCGACCCTGCACGAACCCCCCCTTGCAAGTTGCCACCCTAGACGAGCTCCCCTGCAGGGTCACAACTGATGTCCACGTCTGGAAGAGTTTGTCAGGCGATCCGAGGCAGACCATCCGACCTCGAAGCAACCACATTGGCAGGCTATACGATGTCAGGCAGCCATAGAGCCATGCATTGACTTCCTTGCCCGTTAGATGTTCGTAGAAACAGCGCCGCAAGGGAATTGAGGATTACACTATGTAACGTTCCACAGTGAGTGCCGAGGAATCTCCGAAACATGTCCATGAGTCGACTGCAAAGCGCACATGTCAGGTTCCGGTCACGGATTCAGTACCTAGTCGCGGTATTCCCAAAACTTCAGGGGCAAGGCGGCACCTCGTCAACTCCTGAGTCCACGCCAGCGTTTGAAATCTGGCTCCAGCTCCACGACAGTAAAAATGAGGGGCGTCTTCGAACTCGCACCCCCTGAAGCATATTTCATCGGTCTCGGTTCCGTCACTGGCATCTATGCCCATCACGGGTTCCTCATTCATGGGGAATGGCACTTATATGGGCCAGATCTGGCAATTTGGCACGTGGTTCCCCTGGCTTTGTTGTTCACAGCGAGAGCCTACTACGGTGGCTCTGATGCCTCCTGGATACTCTATTGTCTCGCTTTGGCAAGCTACAGCTACTTCATCAGTCTCGCGACAAGCATTGTGCTCTATCGAGCTTTCTTCCACCCGCTGACAAGAGAGAGATTTCCTGGGCCATGGTATGCGCGCGTTACCAAGCTATGGCATTGCTGGGCAGTCCGGCATTCAAAGAACTTTCTGGTCTTGCACGAGATGCACGCTAAGTACGGTGATTTTGTGCGGACAGGTCAGTAACACACAATTGTCCATATTTGAATCGCTCCTCAGTACCCTTCGCTACTAGGCCCCTCCGAGATCACTGTATTCCGCCCTGAGGTTTTCATGGCCATTGACGGTCCTCGATCCAAGTGCGTCAAGGCCGATTGGTACGACCTTCTTCACCCAGACCAGGCTCTCGTTACGGCGCGGAACAAGGCTAAATGGAGTGAGACGACGAGTATGGAATCGCGGGTTTACAGCAGACGGTTGGTACATCCCCTGACATATTGATCCTGCATTATCTCATTGTCATCCTGAGGAGAAAAAGAACTGACCCGGCTACCTTACCTGTCAGCTCGCGCAGAGTATAACGCAAGAGTGTCAAGGAATGTTGACCAGCTGGATAAATGTATCGAGTCTGATGCGGAGTCGGACGCCCCAACTAGTGTTCGCGATCTTGCCTACTTTTTCTGCTTCGACACAATGGGCGACATTTCCTTCAGCAAATCTTTCCAAATGATGCAGAACCAGGGATGGCACCTCACGATTGCCCGCCTGCAGCGTGCTCTATCGCTACTCGGTCCCACTAGCCCTGCCCCGTGGCTATTTCATATTGGATTCCGCATAGCTCCCCGAGTGGGCGTTCTTCGAGATTGGTTTGAGGCGCTTGCTTGGTGCGCTGAACAGATGCGGGACAGGCTAGAGAATAAGCACTCGGAGCAGCCAGCTGGCGATCTAACGCATTACCTCATGGAGAAGGGAGGCCAAGTTGGGAATGACGACGCTGAGCACTGGCTCACTGGAGACAGCTTGTTTTCGATTGTGGCAGGAAGGTAAGTCTCAGTATTTGCCCGGTGTATTCCCACCCCCAGCTGCGCTTCCCCTTATGTTCTCATGTTTACAGTTTGACGCTAATGAGTACTTGTCTGATGTTTCTAGTGCACCTGCTTCTGCTACCTTGGTATGTATCCTCTTCATGTTGGCCAAGCACCCTCACCACGCGGAGACGATATATTCGGAACTCAACATCGCCGACATAACTGATCCAAACGCTTTGAGCCAACTTGTGCACCTGAATGCCGTTATCAACGAGACAATGCGTCTGTATCCCGCAGCCCTTAGCAGTGGGGCAAGGAAGACTACGGAGTGTGGAGTAACCATTGGGAAGACATTCATCCCTCCTGAGACAACAATACTCTGTCCGCGGTACACCATCAGCCGAAGTGAGAACATCTTCAAGTCTCTCTTCATTTATTTCTCTTCGAGCCTCTTCGATCCCCGGTGGCTGGGGATGAGTACGTACTTATCTAATCAAACTTGTATACTCAGGGGAAGACTGTTTCGAACGTGCGACAGAGTTCATACCAGAAAGGTGGAGCACACGCCTCGAGATGTTGCGAAACTCAGCGGCCTTTACCCCTTTCGGCACAGGTAAGATACAACCTGACCTTACTCCAAAAGGCCTGATGTATTCACCTCGAATACCGGTGCCCAAAACCTTGACCTAATGCTTGTTTTGACTTTATACAGGCCATCAAAGCTGTCTGGGCCGGACCGTAGCAATCGACATGATGAGACTGGCGGTTGCTAAGCTGGTGAAAAAATACCAGTTCTCACTTGTCCCGGGCAATCGAGTTGAAGAGGATATGGTTGATGAGTTTCTAATGAAACCGGGCAACTTGTCTCTGAAGTTCAATTTCCGAAGATAGCAGATAGGGTAAGTAGGTACCTAATTAACCCAACTACCAAGCGGATCGTAAAACCTCCGTACCTGAGAGCATCATACATCACCGATGATTAGCCATCTATGCACCGTGACCAGGTCCAGCGGTTAGCTGTGCAGTGCGTACTGGATCTGATCTGGTCGGCACCCTTCCCTGTGGTCCTATCTACGGGATAGCCCGCATTTCCCTGCAAGACTCATCCATCCTTTGAAGGGATGACAATATCACCCTGGCCAAGAGCACTGTAGAGCATTCCCTGCCGCGTTGAACATGCACGGCACTTGTGTTGGGGCGGGGCTTACTCAAGGTGCAAGTAAAGCCTGACATCAAGGTGCAAATAGTAAGACTCGAAAGAACCATGCAGTAAGTATGGCAACAGCCCCCTGCTCCCTGGGGCGGAAGAGAGGCCGGGCCCGGGGGATAAGGAGTGGGGCTCAAATGAAGTGCTGCTGTCCTCGCAGCCTTGTTCTCGCGCTCTCGGTCGTCGCTCTATGGCGGTTTTCGGCCTCTGTGGTCTGTCTTCTTGATACCGATGGTTATCACAGGATTTTATGCCGGTACATTTCATATACTGCTTAAGCGTCTTGAACAGGGTTCGATGCATGAGGCCCAGCAAGCGTGCGCGCAGGTATCCGAAGAGCCTCAATGTTGAAATGTAGCGTCGTAATGACTAGTTTCTGATCACTCGTACGACGGCTTCGACTCGTTGCCTTCAACGAGCGGTGAGCTCGTCAGGGGGGTTTGCGAAGCCGTTGTGTGTCGGAAGGGCAGGGGTTCCGGAGGCCAGCCAGTCACCAACCACCAAGCAGCGGGGGACTTGCATGAGCTGAAGGAGTATTGAATGTTGTGTGACAGCCTTTTCTGCCCCCGGCTATTCATGAGGCCGTTTCCTCCAACGCCATTGGTGAGTTAAACGACGTCTACCATCCCCCCCCCTACATCTCGGACACCCCCACATCTCGTACAACAAAACCCCACCACCACCACCTAAACCCTATATGTTCACTTATACGCTTTCAGCCCAATATTGAAGGTGCTCAGAACGTATTTAGTGCTCTAGATAGCCCTGATCTTAAGGTTTAATCCAATGCAGAATTCACCCCACGCAGCGTACGTGATTGGCTGTCTATTACCCCGCGTTTCCTACCCCGAATAGAGATTTTCGGGTGCTGGAGCCTCGTCTGAAGCCTTGTTCTGTATGTACCGCAGCATCGTATAGCCGCCTAGAATGCCTCCCAAACCGTATACAGAGGATCAGATGGCGAATGCTATCTTAGATATCACGGATGAGGGCCTTTCGTTGCAAAAAAGCGCTCAAAAACACGGCGTCCCTGTTACAACGCTCTCTGACCGACTTAACGGCAAGCCCTCAAAAAGCGAAGGCCATATACACCAATAAAGACTCTCTTACTCAAGAAAGCACTATAATTAACTGGATTTTGCGTCAAGAGAAGATAGGACTAGCCCTTTTGCACTCCCTGGTGTGTGAGATCATCGTAAAGGTGTTGAGAAAGAACGGAAATTTAGGCCCCCTTGGAGACCACTTCATGACCGGCTTCAAACGCCGCAACCCACAAATAAAGACCAAAATTGGCAAAAGGATGGAATCAGCGCGCTTTAAGGGCTTCATGCCAAAGGCAGTTAACTGGTTCTTTAAAATCTTAGAGGATTACGGCTGGGTCAAGCCAGAAAACACGTATAATGTCGATAAGGGCGGCATCATGGCGGGTTTTGGTGACTATAACTACCGCTTTAAATCCGTAGAAATTCTAATTAGCTTTATAGGCATTGATTCTCTCGTTTTAGGTAGTTTTGTTACTAAGAAGGCCTTCTTGAAGAGTCCCAAGAGCCGTAGCTGGACCTCTTTTATCAAGGCCATCTCTGCAACTGGAAAAATCCTCAAACCAGGTATTATCTTCAAGGGGAAGGACCTCCAGGCCCAGTGGTTCATTGAGGAGGTTCGAAAGACCGCCAATTGGTATTATATATGCTCAAATGACTGGACTTCGAATAACATAGCTTGCCGGTGGTTAGAAGATGTCTTCATCCCATAGGTAGACAAGATACAAGGAGAAGATCAAGCTGAGCCTGTTCTTTTGATACTAGATGGCCATGGTAGCCACACCTCCGTACGTATATGATTTTTCCTTATTTTATATAGACTTCCTTCATTTTTCCCTGATTTAATATAGGCTAACGCGTGTTATAAGGACGAATTCATGACCATTTGTTATTTTGTTAATATATTGCTCTGTTCCTTATTTGCGCACACTAGTCACGGTATGCAACCCCTAGGTAACAGGCCCTACAACGCCTTGAAGGCTCACTACCAGAAATTCCTCTCTCAGCTAAGTTCTTTGACGGATGCCTCGCCTGTTAACAAGATCAACTTCATTCGGTGCTATAGCCAGGCCAGAACTGCTGCTTTTACTAAGGCAAACATCCTCTCTGGCTTCAGAACGACTGGATATTATCCTATCAGCCACAAGAAGTGCTTAGCGCATCCCGAAATCCAAGAAGAGAAGCAGAAGACCCCTAAGCCTGAGACCCCTGAAAGCTCTGAATTAGAGGACCAACGGACCCCTACTACGAGCCGCCAGATCATGGATTTCGGCAAAAATAAGTCTCCTGGCACCTGGCTGAAGTACAGGAAGATAGCCACTACGTTCGAGGCTAAGGAGACCGACCTTGTTATTAAGGACAGGAAGATCAAGGCCCTGGAGGCTGAACTAGAGCGGCTACGGCCAAAGAAGCGCCAGAAGATCCCTAATCCTAACAAGAAGTTCAGAACAGTCACGGAGGTAATAATTACGGGTGGTAACATCACCCCTGGTGCCTCTGCGAATGTACCAGACGTTGTGGTTGATGATGACGAGGAAGAAGAAGAAGAAGAAGACAAAGACTCGGCTGAAGAGGCCGCTTTGGAGGCCATACAGAAGCCTAGGCAGACCCGTTCGGGGCGATCCATTCGGGTGCCAACTAGATATTACGAATGAACAGCTTCTGCGCTCTCGAATGATAATTTTGTTGAATTTCCCTGACCTGAATGACTTCTTTTACATGTGGGTGAATAAGGGGGTGTTTTGGTGGTGTTGGTGGGGTTTGGCTGTACGAGATGTGGGGGTGTACGAGATGTGGGGGGGGGGGATGGTATTCTCACTGTACCACAGGCATGTACTGAATGCGGAATGCCTCATTGCAACAGGTCCAGCGAACAAGCCGCAGCCAAGCTTGACGCATCAATTTAGAAGAGGGAGTTGAAATGCAGATCACGACACAGCACACAAGGATCCATACATAGAAGGAGGTACTCCGCCCAGGAACAACACTGGAGATCCTACCCCACGGAACACGGAACGGCGAGACGATATGAGGGATCCTGATGCTTGTACATATACTATCTGAATGATAATGGATTGCTTCCTTGCCCAAGTACGCTCCAACAATGACAGAAAGCGTTAGCTAAAGTACGTGATCCATGTCGTCATTGTCGTGAGAGTAAAAACTTCACCCTCAACCTCTCTCCAGGTCATCAACGGCCCACGGGGTGGTACAAGTCATTTCCCTGATACCATTGCTGAGATTCAATGTCCCTTCGGACGTGAACCACGCGGTGCCCTTCGTCCAGCTTCGGTTGTCCATAATAAGGATCTGAGGTAATCTCCGCCGTGATCGCCATCCCCGGGGCATGGTCATGTAATGCCACGAAATCTCTGTCTCGTGACTCGTCGAGCTCGCTGTATAACCCTCTAGGACGTTTCTGCTTGAAACTTCTCAGCTGGTGCGAGCCAGCGACTCCTTGGCTGCTGTGATTCCCTGTAGATCTCATCTTGCTGATTGCCGGCTTCACCTTCAAGTTGAACACCGGTGCCAAGGTAGGTAGACAGCCCACAATGATGCTCAGCCAGACCTCGAGCAGACTGACCAGGCCAATAGTCGACAGGTAGTAAGAAAAGTCGAGGGGATGTTTCGAGGCCTCAATGGTGACAGCGAGCCTCCACCCAAGTGTGGCGATCGTTCTAGAGACATGTGAGCGAGTCACATCTAGGTGAGTACGGGTAGACTCACATGATACCAATGCTGAACATGAGGGTGACAATGAGCTTCTTCCGTTGTGGCATGTTAAGACTCCATAGTGTCGGCATGGGCAATGTAACAATTGCAATGTCAAGAGCCAAGTTAACACCAATCGTGCCAAACTGCTCACCGGTCACATCTCGACACCAGCCACCTTTCACTGGATCCCACAGCTGTGAGATTGGATGGCAGTTCGTCTGGTAGGCGACCAGGAAGGAGATACCATAGCAGACTACTATCCCCATAAGACCGTATGCCCACCGCCTGAACTGGTCTGTTACGAATATTCGGCTGTAGAGCCAAAGGACAGCCAGCTTAACGAAGACGGAGCCAAGTAGCCAGAATATCCCGCTCAGGAAATATAGCTATGATCAGAATTAGTTGGTTACGTGGAACACTATGTGGTTTGTGTATACCTTGCCCTGAACGGCCAACTCGTAGGCGTTGAGCTCTGCCGCCTGCTTCCCACAGCCGTTGACGATGGCCCAAATGACCACACCTTCCAACACACATGTACTCGTCTACAAGCAACTCGTCAGATTCTGACGCAACAAGCATCTGCGATTGATGGCCACTTACAAAGGAGAGGCCTATGAAAGCATCGTCCGGATAAAAACTCCTTCGAGATATTCTAGCTGCCCAGAAGCGCAGCCCCAGAACCGTAGCACATATTACCGTAAAAATAACGATGAAAACGAAAAGGAGAGCCCCGCTGGAACTGAGAGAACGCAGACCGGCCATCATGGATGTAGCACAGCCTTGAGGGTGGTAGTGAGAAGAATAGGTACGGAAAGAACAGAGCAGCGTGATTGAAGCTGATGATTGAGAGATCTTGCTGACAAGGCGTCCCGAATCAGCGCATTTGAACAGGCGAAATCTTCAGCAATCCAGGGGCTATCCTTTGACGGGAACGCAACGGTCCGAAAGCAATGGTCCAGCATAGGGATTCCCAACAATCCTCATCGGTAGAGTGCATCTAGCTGGAAGAGGGGTGTGGTCAAGTGGAGTGGTGAAGTCAGCACCCGTCCAGGAGCTTTCCCCATCCCCAGCAGGTGAAGGCGGACCTAGTTCGGTCAGATATGTCCTCATGTCACAGCTGACTGCATGTGCACTACTAGGGCGCAGAGTCGCATTTATGCGGAGTTGACGGGGGCTGAGTGGTGTGCGAGTACGACGAGTACGACAGACTGCTACAAAAGGTAATGTTTGTTTTGTATTTAACGTGGGGGTAGCTCCTCAGTAGTGCAAACCACGCCTCCCAGAGCCTCTGCATCGCAGGGTTGTGGAGGTCTCAAGATAATAAGTACAGTCAGTCCCGCTCACGGGCCCATCCCCGTTGTTGCGGCGGTATGACCTTGGGGTCATCCATCTGGTCCTTCAAGGAAGGCTATCTATCGGGGGCAGATTGTTGAAAAGAACTTGCTCTTCTCCACGAATTTTGCCCATTCTGTGCTCCTCTCCCCTAAGTATTGTAAACAAGCTGCCCTAGGCGAATGCCTAGGCAGTAGCCGATTTTTCCCCAGCCTCTTACAAAAGAAAATGTGTTGTGGTGTTTTCTTCTCACCACAGCTGCAGTGATCATTTGAATCTGTGTGCCCAAAGCGTTCATGGTATCTGGCAAAGTCGCCATGTCCAGATCTGGCCGCTAGAAGTCTGTGTAAAGTACTCCTCTTAAAAGATATAAGGTCTCTTTTAGTTACTGCATGTGAGTATACTTCTTGATACCTAGATTCTGATTGGTCTTTCCACCATTGGTTGAACTCTTTCTTGCCCTGTCTTTTGAGATCTCTCTTGACCCAAGAGATTGTAGGAAGATTTGTTGTGTCTGTTTCCAGCATGGCACCCTCTTTTGCTAGTGTGTCGGCAGCTTCGTTGCCATCAATATCTCTGTGTCCAGGAATCCATTTGACGGTCACTCCAGGAGTGTGTGCTGTGGCAAGTTCTTGAAATCGTAGAAAAATGTTTTGTGATGTCTCGGGTGGAGTCCCATTGAGCCCATCTACCACTGACGTGTTGTCCAGGCAGACATATAGCTGTTTTCCGTGTCCAATTGCCCTGGCTGCTGCAAGACCTTGGAGAGCACCATGGACTTCAGCATCTACTACTTCTGCTTGTAGAAGTCTGCCCCTTCCCCGGTATACTTCTTGTGTAGTGCCGCCTTTCCTGATGGTATAACCCCATCCAGTGCGGATTGTGCCTTGGTCATCCAACTGTGATCCATCTGAGTAGATGACAAGGTCAGTGTTCACGTTTCTCTCTTGTAACCATTGCTTGAAGAGCTCTGTTTCTTTGTCTTTGTTTTTGCGGATTGGGCGCTTCCTCCATGATGGCCTGGTAAGTATTGGTCTCTGGAAGTCAGGGACTAGCTGGAAGCTTCTTTGTAGCCTTGTTGGATCCTTGCGAGCTTGTATTTGGAGCCTGCCAACCAGAGGGTGTCTCTGATCTATTCGTCCTAGTCGGAGGCCGTGACGTCGTCTTATTGACTCTGCAAGAACTCCTGCTGGGGGAATCTGCGATTCAAAGTGTAAGATATGTCCAGGGTGTGTTTTCCAGACTGGCAAGATAGCCCTGATCGCCGTTCGTAGTACGGCATCTATTGTTCCAAGAAGCCCCTTAATGCGACATGCTGATGTCTCACCTAAGCTCCCAGTTTTCTCGATTCCTGGGTACCAGGCCTCCAGGCCATGTGTGAGAATAGGAATAACACAAGCTTTCACAGCCCTCTTGGTTGACTTTACTGGAAGTCCTTTGACTGTGTTGCATAGTCCTCGAAGGTGATTTGCTACCCTACTAGCTTTCTTGGCCCAGTGAGAAACATGGTCTTTGAAGTTTAGTTTCCTATCCAGAAGGACACCTAGCCATCGCATGGAATGCTTAGCTGTTTTGTTTATTGTTCCGTGGCAAACTGGGGGATTGTCTGAGTTCTTTTTCCGTGAGAAGTGCATGATCTCGGTTTTGTCGGGATCAAATTCAATAGCATTGTTATGTCCCCATTGGTTGAGCAAATGAAGGTTTTCAGAAGCCTCTGCAGCTGTTTCTTTAAGGTTCTTTCCAATGCAGAGTGTTGCTAGATCATCTGCATATCCAAAGCGTCTTCTTTTCATGCCAAGTCGGGCACAGATTGGCTCTGTATACAGCATGTAGAGGATTGGAGAGACTGGTGAGCCTTGTGGGAGCCCACAAGTGAGAGCTTTTATATCGGTCACAGTACCTTCAAACCGAACTCTTGCGGACCGCTCGGACATGAACGACTGGACCCATCTTATGAGAAAGCCTGGCCAGCCCTGTTCTCTCATGCGAACCACCAGCCGTCCCATTAGGGCAGCATCAAAGGCCCCTTTCACATCTGATGTGACTACCGTTGCAACGAGGCCTTGGTCAAGGGCCTGCTCAATATCGTGTATGAGTGCAGCTACCAGGTCAGTGGCAGAGCGCTTTGGTAGAGCTCCAAAATGTTGTGGGGCTAGAATTCCAAGTTTGACAACAAACCAGGTAATTCTTTTCGCAATGAGTCGTTCTAGGCCCTTGCCAAGACATGACAGTAGCGATATTGGTCTGTAGGCCCTGGGATTGGAGTAGTCTTTCTTTCCTGGTTTTGGGATCATCACCACCTCAGCTACTTTGAATGGTTTAGGGTGGTGTCCAATCAGTAGGCAGGTCTGGAAAAGGGCTCTGATATGTTCACCAATGACTGGCCAGCAAGCTTTCAGAATCCGTACTGTGAGGGTATCTACTCCCGGGGAGTTGCTCTTGGTTCCTAAAGTGCACCCTTCAGCCTCTTCCAGTCCGACGTGGTATTCAAGGGGGATGTGTGGCTTGGGTTGTACGATCTGAGCGGACCAGGGGTCGATGATATCGTTGTCTGAGGTACTTCGTTCAAGCGTGGCTGAGCGTAATGCATTTGCCTTGCTCTCTTGTGACTCGAATATTTGGTCTCCTATGATGATTGGAGGGGAACGCAATCCTGCTGATAACTTGTGCCAAGAGACGATTCTGTATAGGTCCTTTGGCTCAGTTGCTGAATTGATTAGAGTCTGCCAGTACTCTCTCCTAGCTTTCCGAACCACGCCGCGAAATTCTCGTCGGGCTGAATTCCGTCCTTCTTGGCTTGTAGTCTGTTTGGAAAGGGCCCTGTATGTCTGAACAGCTGCTTTGCAGTCATCATTCCACCAAGCAGTGGGCCTAGATTGACGGGGCCTCTTGCCCACTGTCCTGATACAGCCTTGGATCATGTTGATCAGGCTTTGTGTAAAGGTGTCCACCTGGCCAGGGGATACACCCAGCCGGGGGAGTTCATGAATCCTGGTTTGGACATTATCTGCCAGCTCCTGTAGTTTATCGTCCGGTACTATCCAATGATTGGCCTTGGGTACTCGGTCCAGATCTCCCTGGATTGGAATGACTATTCGTAATGTCTCATGATCTGAGGTGCACTGAAGTGCATCATTGACTGAGGCTTCAGCCATGGGGACATCAGAGAACACCAGATCTAGTACATTTCCGTCATCATGTGTCGGGACATCTGGTTCAGAAATCAGATCCAGTCCGTGGTCTGCCATAGTTTGTGCAAGTATAGTACCACCATGATATCCTGGATTGCTTGAGTCCCAGGATGTGTCGCCAGCATTGAAATCTCCAGCTATAACGCAGCCAAAAGGTGGAGTCCATACTTCCAGAATGTCATCCACTTCCTGTGGGTTGTCACATGGCCGGTAGACACTGGCAAATGTAATGCCTTGTACCTTGACCCAGGTGATGTCTCGTGTAGCATAGGGCCGAAGTTGATCCGCTTGAAGGTATTTTCTCACATAGATGAGAGATCTGGGCCGTGTACTGTCGCTGTCCCAGGAATCCACTGGGGAGTATATATCGTAATTGGGGTGTGTCTTTACTCCCATTCTCCTGCCTGGTGGTATGCCAACCCAGGGCTCTTGCATCAGAATGATGTCTGCTTGTTCTCCTTTATAGTCAGCCAGGTTGATGGCTAACTCTGTAGGGCCTGCACTCTTTTGTCCCCCTGCTGTATTCACAGAATGGATGACTAGATGCCCGTGTCGATGTGTTTCGTTTGATGTACCTAACATTGACTGACAACAATGGTATCGGCATCTCTGGGATGAGTTGTATCTGTTGTGTCGATTTGCATTGTGGTGTCTTTGTTATTATTGTTAGGTGTTGACCCAGCTTGGTTTCTGCCTGCTTCGTTGAAGGCCTTGGATCTGGCTCTTTCTCCGGCTAGCCTTATTTCCTGGATTTGCTCCCATGTGTGCTTATGGATGGTACCTTTCACAACCTTGGGGCGGGCAGGGCATTTGTCGAAGTTGGCAGCATGAGGTCCTTTGCAGTTGACACACTTTGGGATTGGTTTTTCGCACTCTCCCTGGTGTACTGTGTTGGCGCAGTGTGCACATACTTGCTTTTCGCATCGGTAATTCCTACCATGGTATCTGAAGCAGCTTGCACACTGGTGAACCTTGGGGGTGTGTTGAATATGCCTTGAGGTCATTGAGTGGGCAAAAAGCGTGAATGGTTTCCTTGCTGCACTGGGCAGAGAGATTATCCATGTAGTTTCTGGATCAGAATCAATCGTGTTCTTTGAGAGTATGCACCTCAGAGGTCTGTCGCCTGTTTGGGCTTCAACTTCATCGGCAACAACAGTGTCAGTAATATCGATTGTGAACCCTTCTGCACTGATGACCTTTCTTGGGCATCCATTGACCTTGTAATGATGCCAGACTGTG